CCGAAATTACTTTGAACACGGCATAAAAAGAAGTGGAATTTTTTTCCTTTTTTTTTTTTTCATTAAAAATTCACTCCGTTTTGTGGTTTCGTTCAAGAAAAAGCTTTCAGGTGTCCAAAAAGGGGATCGAAAATTACTTGAAAAGCACTCGGTTCCGGTTTGAGCAAGGTTTGAAGCAATGGAACGTTCCGAATATGGAATTGTCGCGGTTTTTCACAGCGGTTTGTCGAAATCAGACTTATAATTCGATTTTCGATTTCTAGATTGTTTTATCGAAACAGAAAGTTTCTCGATTACAATTTCGCAACTTTGGCGCTCCAATCATTGACGGCGACTTTTATATCAAAGTTGTTTCGGAGATTTTTTTTTATTATTTAAATGTTTTTTAGATCCCCAAGATTCGATTCACCATAAGTGGCGCTTATAAGCGCCGCTTTCTTTTCTTCAAGACTTACGGCGATTACGAAGTTGCCGTAGAAGCCAGTATATCGTTGGGAAGGTTGATTCCGATTTCATACCATGGCCTGCCGTTCATTGATACTCAGATCGAATGGTAAGATTGTGGAAATCTTCAAGTTTTCTCAATTAGATGGAAAAATTTAAAACAAAGAATATTTTTATTCGTTTTCATAATTTTGAAATTCACTTTTCAGCACGATGAACTTTGAAGTTGATGAACCAGTGACCCGTGGCTGGTTCGTCACGGGGCTGATTGGAAATGCGGTTCGGTTGGTTTTGAATTTTTTTGAACTTTAAAAATGTATTTTTTTCCGTTTGAAAAAAATCATTTTTTTCAGAAATAACATCAAGACGACGCTTTGCAATCAAATGGTCGAGACTCTAGATGACGTCATCCGCGGTGACGTCAGCAAGTTGGAACTTCATTTTCCGGTTGCTGAAGGTGGGCTCACATGTGCTGTAAAATGTATTAATTTTTCCGATTTTTTTTCTCAATATTCTCATTTTGTGGATTTTTCTTACCTAAACTTTATTAAGAGATTCTTGTTTTCATTTTTTTTTTTTTGATTTATTCGAAAATATAAGATTTTAGAAACTTCAGAGGGGTCCCTTTAGGGGCGCGGGCCCTTGGAAACTTCGTTCCGGGGATATTTTTACCAACTCTTATAGTGACCACTAAAGCTTGCAAAACACTATAGTGGTTTTCAGTTAGTGGCACTCATGGTCTAGTGGTCCCTATAAGGTTTTTAGCTAGTGATCCCTATAGGGGACATGCTAGTGATCTCTGTAGAGGTTTCAGCTAGGGGCCCCTTTAGAGAAGCATTCTAGTGGCTCCTAGAGGGAAAAAAGGTACCTTCATGATGATATTTCAAGTAACGTTGTTTAGAACTTGAGCCCTGTCCAAAGCGACGCTCGTTGAAAATAAAACAGAGCACTTTCGCCCTATTGTCATTCGAGCACACTTTCTCCTTTTTTTCTATTTTCTAGTCATTTTTTAGAGAAACTGTGCTTCAAATTTATCTTACAAAAAAAGGGTGATGAAAAGGTCTTACAAAGATGATGGAAGATTCTTAAAGACTTTCTTTCCGTTCAGAGTCGACTTCGCTGGACTACCGTCTGGTTCGACCTCCTTTCATGTTGCCGCAGAACGACGCTCGGTTCTACCTCGACGGCACCGCGAATCACACTGCGAACAGGCCTCGGATGGCCCTCTCGGCCTCCGGCGGCAACATGACCGGCCGCGACGTCGCCTTCCACGTCTACGAAGGCCTTCTGACCGAAGTGTCGCAGTCTCTCTGCGAGAAGGGCCTTCTCGATGGGTGAGAAAAAGTCCTTTGATAAATTTAGCCTTAGTTTTGGGGAATCTTGGACCGCCAGGAAAAAGGAACAAAATTAGAAATGGAAACAAAAAAGATTTTTTTTTATAAAAATAGATCCCTAGAGGGGTTTAGGATCCGACCCTTTAGCCACTAAAGCTCAAGTGGCCCCTATAGGGGTAAGAGTGAAAAAGAGCATCTATAGGAAGGGAGGCCAAAAGTGGTCTCTATTAGGTTGAAATCAAGGTGGTCCCTATAGCAGTTTACAGTCTCACCCCTTAGCCCCTAGAGCTTAAGTGGTCCCTATAGGGTTGGAATCAAGGTGGTCCCTATAAGAGTTTACAGTCTCACCCCTTAGCCCCTAGAGCTTAAGTGGTCCCTATAGGGTTGGAATCAAGGTGGTCCCTATAAGAGTTTACAGTCTCACCCCTTAGCCCCTAGAGCTTAAGTGGTCCCTATAGGGTTGGAATCAAGGTGGTCCCTATAAGAGTTTACAGTCTCACCCCTTAGCCCCTAGAGCTTAAGTGGTCCCTATAGGGTTGGAATCAAGGTGGTCCCTATAAGAGTTTACAGTCTCACCCCTTAGCCCCTAGAGCTTAAGTAATCCCTATAGGGGACTTCCAACTTCATTCAAAGACGCTTGTTTATTTATTTTTTGCGTGAAAAGGCTTCTTCGCATAGATTACATAAAAATTATCATTTAGCATGTCCTCTATAGGGACCACTTTTGCAAGATTTAAAGACCCCTATAGTGATTGGTAAAGTGGACCCCAAGGTTGCTTTTATAGGGACCACTCTGGAGTTCCTAAGTTATAAGGGTTTTTTTAAATATAACAAGTATGGGACCCTTTAAGTTGGCCCCTATAGGAGCCATTCTGCTAAGATATTAGATTTTTTTGAAATCAGGTTTTTTTAAAGCACCTTTCACCCAAGTTTCACTAAACTCTCCAGAGAACCCTTTCTCCATTTTTTTCCAGAAAATTAAAAGAAATAAAAATTTTAACATTCTTCTTTCATTTCCAGAAACTTGACTTCTCCTGGCAAGGACGAAGTGAGCTTCCAATGCATTTTGGCGGAGATTGACATCCAGAATCAGAAAAGTGATCGTCTTTTATGAAGATTTCAGAGGAGTTTCGATTTTCAGACACTCCTCATGTTTACTTGAGTCTGACTGGGTCGGAATTGTACGCCGATGGCCGGGACGTCGTTCAGAGCCGGAGTTATACCTTGACGCCCTTGCAGAAGTGATTTTTTAAGTTTTTACCGAGAAAAGTTAGTTTTTTCAGCAGCGAATTCGCAATAATGTTGCGAATAAAAGCCCAAATCACTGACGAATCGATTGATGCAACTTTCAATAATGAGGTTCGCAGTATCTCAAGAAGAATAAACATTTGATCATCTCCAGATCCTGGCACTGATCGCCAAGGCGTTCCGCAACAGCATGAACGTCCCCCTGCCATTCATCCGCAACGCTACCTTAACCGACACGTTTTTCCGCTTCGAGACCCACGCCTTCATCATCTACGGAAATGTCGACTTCAGCTGACCCCCACCTCACTTCCTACTCGTTCAAATTTCGACTCATGAGCTTTCAAATCTACCCTGTCATATCATTGATTCATTGATTATTGATTATGTGATTATAACTTGTATTATTGAAATTTTCTGATCGATAAAAATGGTTTTGAATTCAAATGACTATAATCCGTTCTGAATTCATGAATCTTTTTACAGAATTCTTATATATTTTGCACTTTTTTTATCGGATCATTACTTTGAAAAATACGGTGATCTTCAGTTCTAATTTCATTCGAACGATTTTTATAAAGGATACAGTTTTTTTCCATTGAAAAATTGGTTGAATTTAAAAAAAGTTACTGGATAGTTACATTTTTTTTATCTACTTTCCATGGGGCTTCCTGTTCCAAAGCTGACCGTGGGGAGCGTGTTGCTGCAAAAATTCAATGGTATATTTTTAATTATCACAAAAAAAGTAATTAGGAGTCCTCAAAAAGAAAGTTAATCTCAAGAATGAAATTTAAAAAAAAAAAAAGTAAAGAAAAAGCCACCGTAAATACAAACTTTTGCACTGAAAAACTGCTGAAATGACAGTAAACTGAGAGAATTTTTAGTGGCCACTTCAGAGGTTCTCTATTAAGAGGCCACTTCAGTAGTTTTTATTCCAGTATTCCTTCCAGTAACTCTGATAATTTTAAAACAAACAGATTGGACCTGTTATGTTGATCCATTGTCCCTAAAGTGGCCACTAAAATTTTTGTGGTCTAGTAGTAGCACTTAGACCTCTCTAGTGGCCACTAATTTTTAACCCTTTAAGTGGCCACTAATTAGACTGCTATAGAGGCCTTTAAAACGTCAAAACCCTAAAGTGGCCACTAGAAATTTTCCCAAAAAAAATTCTTGAAGCAAAAATGATCTATTTTGATCTAATTTGGCGTACGGTATTTTTTAGCGGAAAGAAAACAGCGACAAGAATGGACTATAGCAGTTTTCTCGAATCGAAAAAGCTCCTCAAAAAAATTAAATAATAATATAATTCATTTTTTTAAAGGCGCTGCCAAGCTTGTGAGAAACTCTTTTAAAAATATATATTACAAAACTTTGTCATAGCCCATTCCGGTCCACGTTTTCTTTTCCTTCTAAATTACTGTATAACAAAATAAATCGAAATTGAGTATATTCGCTTCAAGAAATATGTTTTTTTGCTGTCTTTTTAGCAGTTTTGCGGAGCAAAAGTTTGTATTTACGGTATAGTCTGTGTACCACGACTTGGAATTTCACCGAACGACATTCCGCTGTGCGCCTTTGCGATTCTTGGTCGTTCTTTTATATTTTTTTTTCTTTTATTATGGTATTCTACTTTCATGTGCTCCCACAGCAATAACAATCAATTGAAAAAGTGATCCAGATTCGAAAGACGCTTCACGACCGCACGCAGCGGAACAGCGGAATGTCGTTCGATGAAATTTCAAGTCGTGGCACACAGACCATAGGTTTCTTTTTTACGTGACTGTTTCGCGCACCGAAAACCATGCTTACTGGGTTCAAAATGCTCAAAAAAAGACGAACCTTCTGAACACGGTGAGGCTTGACGGCGTCCTTGTGCTTCCGGACAGCATCCTTGACGTGACGTCCCTTGCCTTCGTGATGCACCTTGCCGGCGGCATGACGCTCGGCGCTGACCATCGAGCAGGCGACCAAGGCGATGAGCAGGAGAACCGCCGTGAACTTCAGGCCGAACATGGTTGAATGTCTTTCGAGGTTTTGGCGCCTTCATCCCGTATTTATAGGCTCTCCAACGTGTTTTATTATGGCTTTTATAGCTTTTCGCACGATTCGATGTGTCTTTTTTGATACATTTTGCTTACATTTTTATAGGTCTCGTTTTGATTCGATAGAAATCAAAAAGATGGAGAAATCAAGATTTTCATTCAAAAAATCGAAAAACTTTTATCCAAGTTTTGTTTGACGTTTTTTGTGCATACACACAGCGACGCTAACTCGCATACTTATTAAATTCGAAAATAATTGTCCAACACTGTAGACCTGGAGAAAAATTGATTCTTTCACAGTTCCATATTTTGTTTCCGCTTTAAATTTGAATTCTTTATTTTAATAAGTTTGAAAGCAGTAAAAAAACGGGGTTTCAAGTGAAATAAGTATTTTTGTATAATTTTTCTTTGCGAATCGAATGGTGTACTCGAAAAAATTACAAATGTAACAACTTTAGAAGAAAAACGCGATTTTACTTTCCCGCCTTTAATTTTAAAAAAAACTTTGGATCGGCATGCGGAGTCCGGACAACTGTTTACAGTAATCGTGTAGCGATGTTGCGGACGTCTCATTAGACTCGCATTTTGAGAGAAATAACCGCATATCTGCTACGAATTAAGGGTTTCTTCTCTGAAAAAACATTAGTCAAACAAAAAATACACACCGATGAAAAAGGAAACACAAAATATTGCTATCCCAATCGAAACCTGCGTAAAATCATCATTTCTCACCAGAAATGCATTTTTGCTATCAAAGTTTGCAAATTATTCATAAATAGAAAGCTTTTGTGACGAAAAGAACTTTGGTGACAACAGAAAACATTGAAAATTGAAAGAAACGAAGAAAAAAGCGAAAATCCGGAAGATGGCGAACCCTGTTGTCCATAGAGCAACTTTACTGCAAAGCGCCCTTTTCCCGGGAACTCAAACTTTCCTCTCTTCGACTTTGAATTGTTTTTTCTCCAAAACTAAGAAGTTTGGTACATTTCCAAGTTCACCGTTCGATTCGCAATGAAAAACTCCACAAAGTACTGCTTTGAACTGAAACACCGTTTTTTACTGCCCCTATGCCTTTAATACGAACTTCGTTGTAATACTCATTTCTTAAAAATAGCGATAAAGATCGATCACGAATAAACTATAATCAAAAGTCAACATAATAGTTAATAACGTCGACGTGACGATGAAGAATGAGAAGAGCATTTATTTCCATAGTCGCCGGAGCCGCGTGACTGCTGCGACGAAGTTTTCGTCGACGCTCGAATCTTGACGATAACGGACGATGTGTGTGACAAAGAAGTAAGTCAGGAGAGACTTCTGGAAAACTTGACTTCCAAAAGCAGGAGAGATCGGGTGGACCAGGTCGAGCCTAAGCTTCCTACTCCGATCACGAATCAGTCAAAAATAGGTTTGTTCCTTATAAGGGACTTTAGGAGAAGTTTCTGTCGGGTCTGTGAGAAAACATTATGGAAAGAAACTTCAGGAGATGGTTTTTATCAACAACAAAAAAAAGGTTCACCAGTTCAAATATGTGTGATAACCCATCATCAGAAATGCGGACAAAACTTTTTGAGCCATACTGTAGCCGGGTTACGGTAGGCAGGTTGGCACCTGCCTATCTAAGTATTGAAGAGTTTTTACTAGACAAGTGATATATCAATCGATAGGTAATCGGATTTCAGGAATTTTTACAGTACATACCATCTTGGGTTACTGTAGGAATTTTCGAGTTACGGTAATTTTTGTCTTTGGAAGTCGGTTTTTTGGTCACCCTGGTCGTCGGCATTCTAATTACTTTCATGGAATATGTCTAGTAGTACTTTTTTTTTAATTCCACAAAATAAATTCGAATTTCTAAACCCGTCATCTCGAGATTTCACTCCGAACATGCGCAACTTTGCGGCTAGAATTTTGACGATTTTCACATTTTTCTTTTGTTAGATATTTGTGTAAAACTTTTTTAGATTTTAACTACAGGGTGTTTTGTAACATTTAAAGAGGTTTGAAAAGACCTATACGCTACATATTCGGCCGAAACTTTGTGTTTTGAACGCTGTTTTCGCTTGAAAAAACGTGATTCGCTCTGAAAAGATTTTGTTCAAGCGCTGCAAAGCTCCCAAAAAAGTCAACTTCATCTGACTTTCCAGCCTGGATTTTTCAGTTGCAAGAATATAAGCTGAAAGAACGAAATTCTCAGGAATAATTCTGACTTTCAGATTTTAGCTCGAATGAAAATACTCATCCGTTTCGGTCAATTTTTCTCATTTTAGTTCTATTTTCTCTTGTAGAAAGCCTTTTCTTCTTTTTTCTTTTTTTTTTCAAAATATCCGAAAAACATATCACTGGAGTTTGTGCAGCAGAACATAGGGCAGTCAGAACGGTTTCCCTAAATTCATTTCAATCTTCTCTCAAATAGAGCTGACCTTGTTCAGTTACCAACGCTCCCGCTCCCTCTGTGGCTACTCGACCTACAGTCAGCGAAGCTCCAACCAAAGGTAATCCGGTGGTTTTCGGTTGTAATTAATTCTCATTTCATACTGGGAAAATTTTTAGTGGCCACTATAGAGGCTCGCCAAAGACTATTTGGAGAGGACACTGAAGTGGCCACTAAACCCACCTCTATAGTGGCCACTGTTTTCGGTTCAGTGACCACTTTAGAGATTCTTTATTTAGTGGCCACTTGAGTAGTTTTTCATCCAGTATTCCTTCCAGTAACTCTGTTAAATTTGAAAAAAAAAACAGATTGGACCAGTTATGTTGATCCATTGACCCTTAAAGTTGCCACTAAAATTTTTAGTGGTCTAGTAGTAGCACTTAGACCTCTATAGTGGCCACTAATTTTTACCCCTTAGGTGGCCAAAAATTTGACTACTCAAGCGGCCACTAAAACGTCAGAACCCTGTAGTGGCCATTAGAAATTTTCTCAGTGTGAGACTATAGGCCGAAAATTTCTACACAAAAGAACGCGAAAGAGATTATTTTCAAAGAACGTGGATAACTGTAGAACTAAGATCATGTAGATAATAATAAACAAAAAAGTTCCATATTCTAAAAAAAAGAAATTCAAAAAATTCTGCCCATTTCTGACTTGTAGGTCTAGGTTAGATTTTTAAACTGTCTTTTAATTTTGTTTGAAAGTGAAAATTCATCAGTTAGTTGGAAATGAACATTTTAGGAGGGCCAGGAGATTCGAAGGATTCCAATGCCTCGAACAAGGAACCTTCAACGAAGAAATCGAAGAAGTCGAAGAAGTCGAAAAAATCGGTTAAGCAGCCGCCGACGGATAGTATGAAAGTCGCCAAGTGTTCGAAAAAATCGGCCGAAAAAGTTTTTTTCTTCGCTGTGACATAATTATTTTCGTCGGCTTCAGGTGATGAAATGGGTGCTGCGAACTCTTCAAATCGGAGTTGATGGTTTGGTGGCCGAGTTCCGCGACATGAACGCCAAATGGCTCGTCGAAAACATGACGACCAAGGCCTTTGCCGAAAACAAAGAGAAAAATCGGTTGGTTGAAATTTTTACTTTGATCAGACAATGCTCGTGGGACCTTTTTGAAAAAATCTAGATTGTTTTTTTTTCAGTCTCTGATAATCATTTTTTTTAATAGTGGGACTGCCATTTTTTTAAATAGTATAGAATTTTTCACATTTTGGGCCCGCGAATCTACATGAGCGTGAATTGTGCATACACAAATATTGGGGCCTCTTTGAAAACTTTAATCTTGTAAACACGGCGACGCCCTGCCTATATTTTCCGTAAAGTGTGGTGTGTTGTGTGCATGCACCTCGGCGCTCTCGCACATGCCACATTAAAAATATATTTTTCGCGGAACTATAAATTTTATTTCAATTTATGAAATTCGGTTATATTTTTAGCTCTCTGGTGATTATTTTGAACTTCGCAAAATTCATTTCAACATGGTATGTGTTAAAAAAAATGAAACAGAAAAGTCGCGTTTTTTTTAAAGCAGAAATTGATTCCTCTCAAGACCCTTTTATGCGCCTTTAATATCTCCCGTTGCTTATACTTGTTCCCCATGACGTCACATGAAAACGGCGGAGGTTTTGACCACGCCCCCTTTCATTTTTGGATTTACATTTTCTTGCACTAAAAAAAAAGCCTTGGTACCCAGGAAACTTTTATCAAGATTCAAATTTGCAAAGATTCAAGCCTCCGGCATTGGTGTATGCACAATTCACACTCACGAAAATTCGCGGATCCAAAAATTCTTCCTACCATCCTGCAAGATTTGGGAAAACTTTTTCAATTTCAAACTTCAATTTTTTTCCTTTTTCTCAAATCGGTGTTATATTCATCAAATTTGAGATACCAAGATGTCCCATGCCAAGACAAGGGTCGTGTCGTTTTGAAGTTTCCCGGTGTCACTACTGACTACATTCACGCCAATTACGTCGGTACGCATGTCAACCCGAAACGTTTTATTTGCACGCAGGTTAAAATACTTCTCTGATCTTTCCAATCAATTTCTCAGTTTTCAGGGTCCTCTCGAAAAAACTCTCTTTGATTTCTGGGCCATGGTTATCCAGGAAGAAACCGAGATCATCATCATGCTGTGCAATTTTTGTGAGCTGGTTCTACATTCTGGAAGTTTTAGATTTTTGAGAAATCAATTTCCAGGACAAAATTAAGTGCGAGCCCTACTGGCCGTCGGACAAGAACGAAGAAGGCAAGAAGCAGATAATGAAATTTGGCACGGCTCCCAATGAAATCACCGTTACGAGCACTGTAAGAGTTGGAAATCTTTTGGGAAAAGTCGCTCAGAAAAGCGTCGAGATAAGCTTTTTTTGATTTTATAGTCAAATAGAATGATTAGGGGCGCGCCGTAGCGCAACAGGTTGTGTGCCTGTCTACGGTCCACAGGGTCACAAGTTCAACCCCCGCCTCGACCCAACCAAGGGGTTTAAGAAATGTTGGTAGTGGGAAACCACGACTTCTTAATTCTCAGCCGTCACACACAAGGACGGATATGTCACTAGAGCCAGTCCTGATATCAAAATAGGAGCTCGGCTTGGGGCGCCGACGCCGCTCAAGCGGTACAAAGGCATAGGAAGAAGAAGAAGAGGGCAACCATAGTGCCCCTTTGAGGGTCCTTCCTAGGGACCTCTTTACCACATTAGGGGCCTTCAGGATCCATTTTGAAAGGTACCTTTGTGGACACATTATGGTACCTTCTCGATTCCCCTGTGCCTGTGAGCAACTGCTAAATGGCTTCTCAAAACCATTAAAGGCATAGGGACAGAAAGCAGTATCGTATATGGTGTTTCTTTGCGATTCGAACGGTGTACTTAAACAACTTACAGATTTGACTACTTTCTAAGAAAAAGACGGTTTTACTTTCCCGCTTTCAACTTTGAAAAACGCTTTGGATCGGTGTACGAACTAGTGTTCTAAAACTTGACCGTTCAAATGATTTGACCGTTCAGTTTTTCGAACGGTTATAACATGTCATTTCTCTGACCGTTCGTTTGACCGACCAATTTCTGGAATTTACGAAACCGGCCGGCCATTTTAAGATTGACATTTTGAACGGCAAAAAATGACCGACCATTTTAAGAGTGAAATTTTGAACGGTCAAAAAATGACCGACCGATTTCGAAGTGACATTTCAAACGATCAAAAACCAACATGTCACTCTGAAGTGACATGTTGAAATGTTGAAACTCCAACCGTTCGACAAATGACCGTTCATGAAATGTTGAAAAAATATTGGTCGAACGTTCAATTTTCGAAATTATAGTACGGACCACTGTTTACAGTAGCCGTGCACGCGTTTTTGCGGACTTCTCATTAGACTCTTGTGAGAAATAACGGGATATATGTTTTAAGTCAAAGTTTTCTTACCTGAAAAATCAATCAAGAAAACAAAAAACGCACACCGATATCAAAGGAAACACAAAATATTGCTATCCCCATCGAAACCTGTGTAAAATCGTCATTTTTCACAAAAGAAACATTATGTGATCAAAGTTTGCAAACTATACATCAATAGAAAGTTTTTGTGACAAAAAGAGCTTTGGTGACAACAGAAAAAATTGAAAATTGAAAGAAACGAAGAAAAAAACGAAAGTCCGAAAAAAGGCAATACGTGTTTTCCATAGAGCAACTTTACTGCAAAACGCTCTTTTGGCGGGAATTCAAGCTTTCCTCTCTCCGACTTTGAATTATTTTTTCTCCAAAACTAGGAGTTTCGGTACGTTTCCAAGTGTACTCTCCGATTCGCAATGAAAAGCTCTACAAAATACTGCTTTGAACCGAAACACCGTTTTTTACTGCGTTCTAAACATGCTGCCTTTTTATAAATTTTCTGTAGGTACCAATTTTTGATTTTCTAGTCGGTGCAAAAGATGAAGGATGAGCACGGGATTAACGTAACCGTCCTGAAAGTTGAGTGGACGGATGGCGGCAACGCGAAGGAGCGCATAGTCAAGCACTTCCAGTGGGAGACCTGGCCGGATCGTGGCGTTCCTCTCAACAAACTGACACCCGCGGTCTCCCTTCTTTTTTTACTTCTTTTCGATTGAAAGAATGTTTAGGAGCTCCTTTCGGCTGTTCGCGCAAACGGCAAGCCTATCGTCGTCCATTGCTCTGCTGGAATCGGAAGAACTGGAACGATTGTTGCGATTGCTTACGTGCAAGAGAAGATGCAGGCTGGGGTAGGAAGTCCTCGTGGGCACCTTACCAGCCCCTGTAGGGGTCACTATAGTCTGTTCACATTTTGAATGTCGTCGCTTAAGCTCCGCCCCTAATGGTGCGATAAACCAACCAGAGAGCGAGCCATCCACAGAGTGTATTTGAATGACGTCATTGCACTCGACATTAAAAATCTGAACAGACTATAAAGCTTACAAAAGTGATCCCTATAGGGGGCATGCTAGTCGATAATTTTTATGTAACCTGCGAAGAAGCTTTTCCATGCGAAAAATTGAATGAACAAGCGTTTTTCGAATGAAGTTGAAAGTCCCCTATAGGGACCACTTAAGATCTAGGAGCTAAGGGGTGAGACTGCAAACTCCTACAGGGACCACCTTGATTTCAACCTTATAGGGACCACTTAAGCTCTAGGGGCTAAGAGGTGACACTGTAAACTCCTATAGGGACCACTGAAGCTCTAGGGGCTAAGGGGTGAGACTGTAAAATCCTGTAGGGACCACTTAAGATCTAGGAGCTAAGGGGTGAGACTGCAAACTCCTATAGGGACCACCTTGATTTCAACCCCATAGGGACCACTTAAGCTCTAGAGGCTAAGGGGTGAGACTGTAAAATCCTGTAGGGACCACTTGAGATCTAGAGGCTAAGGGGTGAGACTTTAAACTCCTATAGGGACCATATTGATTTCAACCCTATAGGGACCACTTAAGCTCTGGGGGCTAAGGGGTGAGACTGGAATAACAGTCGATGAAATGGCGCAGATAGGAACCTTTTTATCACCTTGAAAGAAACATTTCTATGGAGCCCTTTTGACCCTCTTGCCTGTGAAGAACCGGAGTATATAATTACAGGAGGAGTGCATGGAAATGATTGAGCTTGTGAAGGAACTCCGTCGCCAGCGACCCTGCTCTATTCAGAATGAAATGGTTAACGATTCGAAAAAATATGGCTTTTGATTTTGGATTCCAGCAATACTTGTACCTCCACCGTGTGCTACTCGCCTACTTTTTGGAGAAACACAAAACCAAAGTGAAAGTTCCTCCACAAGCCCAGGCGCAATACGAAGAGTGGGTCGCGCGCTACGATAATCTCACAAAGGGTTAATAAACATGATTCTTCGATCTACTTTTTGATCTTTGTTTTCAAATATTTCTGCATCAAACAAATGAGGATATAGAGATCAGTTTTCTTAGTTTGAAAAAAATTTGGTCCTCGGGCAAAGTCGAAGGGAGAGGCTCAAAAAAGGCCGCAGAAAGGGTGCAAAAAGGCAGCAAAGAGAGTCCATTTATCGAGCCTTTCATTTTTTCTGGAACTTTGAAGGCTCAAGGAATGATGGAAAAAGCAAAACTGGTGCATAAGTGCCCAAAAAATGACGCAAAAAGGCAGCAAAAAGGGGCCTTCGTCACCCTAAAAGGAACATTTGATATTGAGCCTTCCAGCAGCCTCGGAGGGTCCTCCCGACTTTGCCTATGTATATTTAAGGATCAGGAAGCCGTTTAAAACAGTTTTCTTTATTCACCCGGGTTTTTCTGGCTTTTTTGAAGATCTCGAAGTGATAAGCCATATTTCCATAATTATTTTCAAACGCTTTAAAAAGAAATTTCGAAAAAACTGAATCCAAAACTTTTCCTTTAACCATCTTAAAGCCCTTTTTTCATTATCAAAACGTGCCTCATAAACGATGAAGACATAATAATAACTTACTCATATACAAGGTGAGAAGAATAAATAAGATTAAGAACCGCCCTGTTCAATCGGGAGGTCGATACAACTAGGTACCCGGTTGCTACTTATTAGCTATTTTCATGGTACCGGAAAGTATACGCTCGTCAGAAACCATACCCGGTAGCAGCGCGATATTCCACCGGTAGTATCCAGGTACCAGAGGTTCAAAGACAGTCCTAGTGAAGTTAGTGAGTTCTGAAGAGCGGATAAAGCGAGAAAGCTTAAGAGAACAGTGTAAAACGATTCTTGAGGGTGTTTTGAAAGTTTTCAACATTAAACGTGGTGTTCTTAAACAAAATTGACCTCTTATAGTCCATCTGAATGACGAGGCGTCAAATCGCATAGACCTTCCGAAGAAAAAGTCACTACGCTCTTACTATCGGGTTGGTAAGGGACTGATTAGGTTTTTTGGAAAGCCGAAACCTTGTTTTACTAGGAAAAAAAGATTTTTGATTGAAAATCGACGTTTGTTTAAAAATTTGATTTTTAAAATCTCAGAAGAAAAATCTTCATTTTCACGGTTTTTGGTGTTTTGCTCTCAAATCCTGTCCTACTCGAGCAAACGACTTCTTCTTTCAGGAAAAAGTTACTGCTTAGCTGTTCGAAATCTATGCGAAGTTTCAAGCTTTTTGAGCCACTTTTTGAAAAGTTATGCTCGAATAACCACTTTGAAAAAGAGATATTTTATATGTAGTAGGCGTCTAGGGAGGCTGACGAACAATTCATTGTCGGAAAAAGTTGTCCAGAAAATTTTTTAAACTGATAAATATTCAACCTCGTCCAAGCCATTACCAACCATAAAATCATCACTACAAACTGCTTTCATCTTATCCATTTGCTCAGAAGCGAAAAAAAAAAACACACGAGTGGTCCCACACGCGCTAATCCACGCCACTACCCATTACGAATAATCCCGTGGCCTCTCCTCTTTTTCCATTTTGTTCCTTTCCATTTTTTTTCTTGTTCACCGCCGAAAAATAAAGGCAAGAATCACGTTCCTGCCTATTTTTTTGTCAATTTTTTTTTGCTTTGAAAGAAAATTAACGGGAAAATTTCCTCTTTGCATTAGGGCTGATGGTTGCAGGTTCGGAGCATTTTGCAGAGAGTTTGGCTCATTTTTTATATGTTATTTGTTATCTTTTTGATTTTTCGATAAGTTCCAAAATCTAATCGTCAAGGTTTAGGCTCTGTAGGTGGTTTTAAAACGAATCCTCATGGTCTTACTGTAATTTTTAATTTCTCTCCTCATTTTTCCGGCTTTTTTTTACTACTTTACTTCGATTTTAGACGTCGATTGTTAATTTCTAAATTTCTCAAAGGTTTTCTGGAGGCTCCCACCAATTTTCCAACACTGGAAAAGCGAGTTTTGTATTTTTTGAAGCGCTCCAAAGTCCAAAAAATGATTCATTTTTTTGGTTTTTTCATTCCCTCTTATCCCGATCTTAACGCTTAAGCGATCACTTCCATTTCCAGAATGGGCCAGTTATTAGCCTTCTTCCGGAAGCCGACCCTCGACGCGGTGCGTGTGCGTCGCGTCTGGGTCGAACGTATCAATTCGCATGAGAAGTATATTCAAGAGGTGGTTATTGAACTATGACATCAAATGGATTTGTGGTTTCAAGGTTCTGATAAGGATCTGCGCAAGGAACGAGGCGATCAAGGCGACCATGTTGGCGACGTGCCAACAACACGCCGTCAGCGAGTCCGAACAGAACTTCTTCCTGTCGACGTTGGCCGACCGGATCGTCAACTTTTTCCATCACCTCATTTCGGTAGGTTTTCGGAACGGAACCTTGTCCAAAATATAGGATTTTATAAAAATCCTCTGAATAACTGGGATAGTCTGACCTGTCTGCACATTCTTTTCCTCACCGGCGAGGTCATAGAAAAGTGAAAAAGCACGCAAACACAAGAGCTTCTCCGAAAATTTCAAAAGAAGTTAGACTGTTAAAAAGTTTGGCGAATGGTTTATTCTACATTGTGCAAAAAGCAGCGATCAAACAAAAAACGGTTTCAATATTTATTTGTCACCCTGTAGCTGCTAAAAAGGTTTCTATACAAATCTGCTCACAAGGGAACTGTTTTTACCTTTTTTTTTTGGTTATTCATCACTAAAAAACGAAAATATTAAAGTTTACAGGTTTTTTTTATGTTTTGAGAGAGAGTTTTAATTAAATTTCAACAGTATCTTCTCAGAAAAAAATAGCAAAAATAAATTTCGTTAAAAGGATTCGAACCCCCGACCATATTCTCCCAGTGCTAGCACGCTAGCCACTACACCACGCGGCCAAAATGAGGAAGCGTGCGCGAGACACATTCTTTCTCGCTGCGATCCACTCTTCTCACGTGCAAACTTTGAGACGTCATAACTCGACTACGAGGCAAAAGTCGAGAAATTGTTTTATTGGTTTAGAATCAGCTTGCCTTAAAGTACATCCCTGCGAAGTTTCATCAAAAAACAGTCCCCTTGCCAGTCGTTTCCTGGTCGGTTGCGTATTAGCAGCAGGATTACTAGAGAACACTACGACCATTCACTGAAGACCTAACCTAGAAAAAAGAAACACATTTCTGAGGATTTCAAATTCGTTTTTCAAAACTTTTAACAGAACTGATTCTCTCTCAAAACTATACTACATATATAATTTGACTCGTGATCATAATCATGTCATGAATTCTACAACAACAAACTGACGTCATTTCTTGACGTCATCCTATAAATCTCTATAAATATTCCCTCCCAGAAATCTTCATTCCCTTCTAAAATTCCCAACCGAAGCCGATGTCATCTGCCAATTCGGCACCAGCCATCGGCTCATCTGAATCCAGAAGACGAGCTCAACCTGTGCGACGTCTTCTCCCGCCTCCGAAAGCCCCGGACGCCGTTCATCCGTTTGCTGTACCTGAAACTCCGGTCAACGAGAAAATGTTCGACTTTCCGTCATCTGGCGACAACTCAACTTCTTGAACTACCAATAAAAATTATATTTCTGTTTGAGAATGGGATTTTTCAATTTTCCATGAAAGTTTCAACTTTTTTTCAAACTGTTCATTCACAAGTTGAGATATTGATAGACCATGGGACGTGAAATTTTTTTAAATGGATATAGTCCTCCAAGTTTTGCCGCCATGTATATACCCGCGCTCGGAGTGCACAGTGAGCAACTGGGAGCGTGGTCAAGTGGCAGTGTTCTTGAATGACGCTGACGATATGCTAGGTTCGACTCCTTTTGACGTGAAACTTTTTTTGCTCTTGTTTATTCGATTGTTCTCCGCTCTATTATCGAACAAAACGCGCACACAGCCCTTGTTAGTTAGTGCCAACATCTGAGAATTTTTTGTGATCCAAAGGCTGGAGATGGAAAAAGCTTTATTCTGTCGGAAGTCGATCAAGCGAACTTTTTTCCGAGTTTAACCGTGACGAACGCCGCCCCATCCACGAGGAGCCTGAAAATCATTCCTTTCGAAGAAAATTGGAAGTTTCTCAAACACGCTGGACTTCGGCGCTGACGAAGGCTCCGGCCATGAGGGCGAAGAGAAGGACAAGTTGGCTGGAGCTGGGGAAAACGAACATTTTCTTGTTTCGGAGCGACTTTTCTCCGGTATTTATAGCCAAAGTTGGATCGTTTTGATGTTGCTTTTATATGGTTTCACATAGTAAGACGTGGGAAGGGAATAAGAACTTTAAGGTGTATAGTGAAATCTAAAAGTGTTTTTCAGGAAAACATCATTACGAACCTCGAAGAGGCTAAAAGGTCCTGCTACGATCTTGGTCGACAGCACTCGGCCTACGGTTCTCAGCCTTTGAAGGTGAGAAAAAAAAAACTTCCTTTTCCAAAGAATCACTTGATTATGTTATATTGCAGGCTAGGACTTTTTCATAAAATTTCATGAACCTACAAAAGAAACGTTTTGAAGTCACATACCTCATTCATCTCAACTTAAAACTGTCTGACTTGTCTCAGTTCTCCTGTTCCCTCATCTATATGGCTAGACATGAGAGAGCGCAGAGAAGCGATATTTGGAAAAAATATAGTCTGTTCAGATTTTGAATGTCAAGCCGTCGCTCAAGCTCCGCCCCTAATTGCGCCATGAACCAATCCGAGAGCGAGCCATCCACAGAGCGTTTTTTAATGACGTCATTGTACTTGACATTCAAAATATGAACAGACTATATGGTTTCTGCGCCATTCGATTTTCCTTTCTCTGACCCATCCGGTTGAAAATAAGAGCCCAGACAGACCAGACGGTAATGAATGAAGTTTTGGAGAATCTCAATTCAGATCGCCTACTGGGAAGAGTTCACGCTGACGATGATGGCCACCTTGGAAGAGGGCTATCCTCAGGTCGAGAAGGACGAGCTCAAAGCCTGGCACACTTTCCTGCACTTTATCAACGAGAACATGATCGACGGCTACCATGACGCATTGCCTTACTCCAACAAGGCACCGTAATTTTCCATTTCCCCAATTTGTGAGCCACCCTGTAGCCTTGAAAATCGTCAGAACTTTTATTTATGATTTTTTGCGGGTTTCTCGATTCTTTAAAAATTATTTTGTGTGTTTCTCTTGTCCATGGGATATTTAATAACAGAAAAATAAAGTCGAATAAAGTTTTTATTACATCTTTCCACTTTTCATTTGACGGAAGTTTTTCTTTTTCTCTCAGGACCTGGTTTTTTCCTATTTGCCATGAAACTGTCTGACCTGTCTGCGCTCTCTTTTCCCTCACCGGCTCGATATTGACAATTTTTTTGAAGCAATTCAGTTCTTCTGAACTCATGAAATGTAGCTAAAAAGTTGAATTTCTTGTTACGTGACGTCATTTTGGTCACTTAAAACTTTATTTCATTTCTAAATAACTTCATCGTTGTATAGTCCGTGTGCCACGACTTGAAATTTCATTGAACGACTCTCCGATGCGTGGCCTTGTGGCCGTGAAACCGAATTTTTTTGCGAATCACGGACGCGCTTTCCATTTTGCTATTTTAATCATGTTTTATCGTCATTTCTTATCACTCTTCATCTCAAAATTGTTGAAAAGAACAAAATTTCAAAGAAAAAAATCAATTTATTCAAGGAATTCTTTTCAATTGAAAGCGAGTACTGAGCTTAACCGTGACGGACGCCGCCCCAACCGCGAGGAGCCTGAAAATCTTTCCTTTCGAAGAAAATTGGAAGTTTCTCAAACACGCTGGACTTCGGCGCTGACGAAGGCTCCGGCCATGAGGGCGAAGAGAAGGACGAGTTGGCTGGAGCTGGGGAAGACGAACATTTTCTTGTTTTGGAGCGGCTTTTCTCCGGTATTTATAGCCGAAGTCGGGTCGTTTTGATGTTGCTTTTATGTGGTTTTTAAAGTAAAAGTGTAGTGGAAAAGTTTTTTTTTTCTGCTCAAAACGTCTCCCTACCCACGCCTTACTATGTGAAACTACATAAAAGAAACATCAAAACGGCTCGACTTCGGCTATAAATACCGGAGAAAAGTCGCTCCAAAACAAGAAAATGTTCGTTTTCCCCAGCTCGAGCCAACTCGTCCTTCTCTTCGCCCTCATGGCCGGAGCCTTCGTCAGCGCCGAAGTCCAGCGTGTTTGAAAACTTTTAACTTTTCTTCGAAATGAAAGATTTTCAGGCTCCTCGTGGATGGGGCGGCGTTCGTCACGGTTAGACTCGAAATTACTTCTAAAGTCGATTTTTACCATGATAAAGCTATTATTATCATGGAATGCATATAATGGTTCACAGAAAAGGTCTTCAGAAACATATAAGTGTTGTAGTCTGTGTGCCACGACTTGAAATTTTACCGAACGACATTCCGTTGTTCCGCTACGTGCGTTCGCGAAGCGTCTTTCGGATCTAGGTCACGCTTTCAATTAATTGTTATTGCTGTGGGAGCACATGAAAGTAGAGTACTTTAATAAAAGAAAAAAAAAAATTAAAAGCGCCAAGGTTCGCAAAGGGGCGCAGCGGCACAGCGGAATGTCGTTTGGTGAAGTTTCAAGTCGTGGTACACAGACTATAAAGGATTCAAAAAAAATTTTGGATTAAAAAAAAAGTCTTTGACATTTTTAGATGAGCGCTGAACGTCTTCAAAAATAAAACCGAAAAAAACATCTAAAATTTGAAATTTATGCCGTGTTCATTGTGACTCAGTGAAATTAAAAATACCGTCGGAGAAAGGAAAATATAAATAAATGTTGGAGAGTCAGAGATATTTTTGCATTTCTCAGAAATTTTGAACACGGCATGAAACCAGGGCGAGAAATTGCACCTTTCTAATTAGACAATCCCGTATTTTTCCTGACAGGTGTGTTTCTTTCTTGTGTCGCTAGTTTTCATTTGTGAACTCGTTTTACGATGAACTTTCCCAACCAAAACTATTTTACAATGGACTTGGAAAAGCGTTTCCAAAACTCTGTTGTATACAATTTTTGTGACTATCTCCTGGAGGGGGCGCTTTACATTATGATGCCGCTGTATCTTTTCTTTCGTCTGAGAGATTTCGATCAGAAGAAAAAGGTTTGTGAGTTTGAAAATGTGGGACGTAGGTATTTTCAGGAAACCTACGAGTTGTTGCTCAAAAGCTTGTCGGTGCTTACTGTAATGACTCAGTTTGCCCTTTTAATTCTCGAGGTTACAACAAAACTGTACGTTATAAAAAAGGAAAGAAATTTTCCGATTAGGTTCGATTTTTGTCCTTTCAGTTAAACTCAGCAGATGACAGAGAACAAACCATTTGGCAAACAATTTACGCCGTCTCGTTATATTTCACTTGGTTAGCCGTCATATTCATACCTTTAAGTGTGAATATTCTAATGACTATTCTTTCTTCCCAGAGATTTTGCGCCATTGTTTTGAACTCGCCATATCAAAAATACATTGAGGGGTGAGGAAATGCCGTAGATTTCAAAAATAGAATCGTTTAGAGACTTTTTGAAGTACTACGTCGCAGCAACTTGGATAATTTGCTTCATTAATTTATTTTTTCTTATTTGTAAGCCCCCAATTGAGGATTCAATAAGAGGATGGTAAATTCCAGGGTCTGGTAATTACTATCTACTGTCGAATATATTGGATCGCAAGGTTTCGAAGAACCTCCAGGTTGTTTATGTAAGCCCCTACCAACGAGCGATACTCCTATACATAGGTGAATCGGGAAGTCGATACAAAAAGCTACCTGGTAGCAACTTTAAAAAAAAAAAAATCAATCGGCGTATGGTAATGGGTGGCCGTTTGTATGCGAACGGGTACTATCTCTATGGTACCTGGGTCGGAGGTCGATGCAAGGATCTACCGGGTAGCCTGACATTCGCGATTTCTACCGGAAAGTCTGGAATTGCTTCCCGGGTCGTTATTTTTTGTTTCAGCTTTATCCAATATGACCCTGGAAGACTTGGGAAGGTGTGAAAAAACACGGATGGTATATAAACGACCGATGTGTCAGCCAGTGGCAATCGCGAATTTCAGGTACATACCCGGTAGCATCCAGATACCGATCAGGTACTATCCAGGTACCATAGAGATAGTACCCGGTCGCATACAAATGACCGCCGATTACCATTCGCCGATTCACTTGAGTTGCTACCCGGTACCTACCTGTATCTACCTCCCGATTCACCAGTGTAGTCTATTTTTCCCGATTAGAAAGGGGCGGGACGCGTAGCGTATGCGTTCGCGGTACTTGGCACGACCCGTAGGGATGAAAGGCTTGGTCGCCCTGGGGGACTCGAACCTACGACCTCGCAGACGTTAGAAATGAGTCTTTACCAGCTGAGCTATGCCGCCCCGCAACTGCCAAGGAAGCCCGTTCTTCGCTCTTGTCTTTCTTTTTCCAATTATTAATTGATTATGTTCATGATTATGCATCAAAAATTAGTAAAACACATAGAAAAAGAGCGGTTGCCGAGCCCTCCAAATGGTCGCTTGCAGTTGACTTGAACTCGTGCCAAGAACCTCGTACGCACACGCTTCGCGTCCCGCCCCCTTGTCTTTCTATTCGAGAAAAATGAACTATACCATGACTTTGAATCAAAAAAAAAAAAAATTTTCAGACGGTACTAGTCATCGGTGAACTGTTAGCCCTGACGAGTCTAGTTTTGAATTGTTTCATCTATCAGAAAATCCAAAGTTTAGCGAGTCTGGTGTCGGAAAATCACTTCCGCCCGGAAAAAAGAGTCATGGAACAAACACTGCCCTTCACGGTCGTTAAATTGGTATTGAATTCGATAATAAAGGAAGCCGAGCTCATTTTATACAGTTGCTTCCGTTTTTCCTGCTCCCTCTCTGGATTTCAACTCCTATCAGCCAACGTACACCTGTTCACAACGCTTTTTACTTTTTCGAATTTTGCATGATCCCAGTCGTTGTTCCTTTTTCCTTCCTCTTCAGTTCATATAGACAGTATAGAATCAACAGGTCGATTGTCCCTCATCAACAGAACGATATAGCGCTCAGTTGAAGGTTTTAATCAATGAATCTTTGAAAGTCATTTATATTGTGGATAGGTTTGGAAGAATCATTGAGCTTTTCACCTCGAGCTTGAAAAAACTTTGCGGATCGAGAGGGTACCATAAAGTGTCTACAAAGGTACCTCTCGAAATGGATCGTGAAGGCCCCATAATGTGACCATCGTGAGACCTCCGGCATACCTTTTAGCTATATCTCAGCCATCTTGGAGGTACTTCAAAGTCTCTTTCAAGCCCCTCTCATATTGCTCAAAATTCTCAGAGGTACCATCGGGAGACATCCGAGCTTGCGATATACCTCAGAGGGTCTCGCGATACCCTTTATCGCACTAGTTCTGACAAGCTTTTTTGCGGAACATTCAATGAACTCGGATGCAAGACAATTTATTCCGCGAGGATTCTTCAATTCGACGAATTTCTGATTTTAACCGTGACGGACGCCGCCCCATCCACGAGGAGCCTGAAAATCTTTTTTTTTTAAAAGAAAATCGGAAGTTTCTCAAACACGCTGGACTTCGGCGCTGACGAAGGCTCCGGCCATGAGGGCGAAGAGAAGGACGAGTTGGCTGGAGCTGGGGAAAACGAACATTTTCTTGTTTTGGAGCGACTTTTCTCCGGTATTTATTGCCGAGGCCGGGTCGTTTTGATGTTGCTTTTATGTAGTTTCACATAACAAGGGGTGGGTAGGGAGACGTTTTGAACAGAAAAAAACTTTTACTTTTTAAAACCACATAAAAGCAACATCAAAACGACCCGACTTCGGCTATAAATACTTCGGAAAAGTCGCTCCAAAACAAGAAAATGTTCGTTTTCCCCAGCTCCAGCCAACTCGTCCTTCTCTTCGCCCTCATGGCCGGAGCCTTCGTCAGCGCCGAAGTCCAGCATGTTTGAGAAACTTTTAATTTTTTTCGAAATGAAAGATTTTCAGGCTCCTCGTCAATGGGTTCGTCACGGTTGAGCTCCAAATCTCTTTCAAAAGTCATTTTTCAGAATCCCCGTGGATGGCTCGGTAAAGGATAAGTTTGGAATCACTTTCAAGCGTCGATTTTGGCCAGAATAAAGCTTTTACATCTCCATTTCCATTTGAAAACATGCAAAAAAACTCTTCTTAAATTTGAAACAGGGTTGCATTGAGAAGAAAAGACCATGATATTTCAAATATACGGGCAACCCCTGCTGACTTGAGCCATCGAAAAAAGGGTCCTGACACGATAATTAAAGAGAGAGTGCCTGGTTGGTGGAGAGCGCAGACAAGCCACGCCTTTCCCAAGCAAGCCGTGAATGGACTATACTCAAATGTCGTCAATGCACCTTTCCAAACTCCATTTTTTTGGTGACAGGGTTTTCTTCTCGAGACGCTTGACATAGTCTTGAGTTCTTTCTACGATGGCGGACGAAAATGATATTTCTATGAGGTTCAACACGTTAGAAGACGATCTCAAAAATTATTCCCTAGCCCTATACGTCGTTGGAGCATTTATTTTGACTGCGACGATCGTAATTCTGATGCCGCCCTAACTTTTTTTCTACTTCAGAAATCGTGAGCGCAAGCAGAAGGTTCGGGAGTCAGCAAATGGAGATTGTAGTGAATCTTTCAGGAGATTTACGATTATTTAATCAACAATTTGACCTTCTCAACTATAATTACACAGATCGGCTTCATCCTTTGGGTGATTGGAACACGTCTGCTCTACATGATTGAACGGGATCGCGTTCCGAATGAGTCTGAAAGTCGGGATCCTTCAAGAGCATCCTACGACATACGCGTACTTCTGCCTGGCAATCGCAGAAGTCACAGTAAACAGAGATCGATACGTCATTTATCGAAGAAAAAAATTATTGACTTTTTTCGTTTTGACTCAAATACGGAGCAGTTCATGAGAAGGAACACAATTCATGAGTAAGCAGCTTTTAAAACAATAAAAAAACGATTATCGATTTTTTTGCTAGCAGTCCGCAGACACGCGAGTACTTGCCACGCTGTTTTGCGGATATTCCTTCAAATTTTGTGTACCACATGTCTTTTTAAATCAGTTGTTTCTTTTTTTCCTGCTCCCTCCGTGGTTTCTAACTCTGAGCAGCCAACGCCCACCTATTCACTACACATTTTATATACTCGAGTATTGCCTGATTCCTACAATTATCCCACTATCATTCTTCTCCAGTTTCTATAGACAGTATAGAAGCAACAGGACTATCATTGTTTTTCGGCAGACTACAAAAAAGATCCGAAACCAACACGGAAGGACTATTTAGTGGGAATTTTGTGAGACTACACGAAATTCTGGTGAGAATCTTCAGCCGAACTTGTTGAAATCTTTGAAAAATTGTTATTTTGGTGCGATTTGAAGCACTTTTCTTCACGTCCATCTTGATTTTAACAAAATGAATAAACTCAAATTTTTCGAATGGTTTACTGCTGAAAGAAAGAGAGTCTAACAAGCAAAAAATTCGAAATTGAAAATGATCGATTCATAAAAATATCTTCTGATCTTAACCGTGACGAACGCCGCCCCAACCGCGAGGAGCCTGAAAATCTCTTTTTTTCAAAGAAAATCGGAAGTTTCTCAAACACGCTGGACTTCGGCGCTGACGAAGGCTCCGGCCATGAGGGCGAAGAGAAGGACGAGTTGGCTGGAGCTGGGGAAAACGAACATTTTCTTGTTTTGGAGCGACTTTTCCCCGGTATTTATAGCCAAAGTCGGGTCGTTTTGATGTTGCTTTTATGTGGTTTCCCATAGTTAAAGGCATAGGGGCAGTAAAAAACGGTGTTTTAGTTCAAAGCAGTACTTTGTAAAGTTTTTCATTGCGAATCGAACGGTGAACTTTGAAACGTACCGAATTTCTTAGTTTTGGAGAAAAAAAAATTCAAAGTCGGAGAAAGGAAATCTTGAGTTCCCGCGAAAAGGGCGCTTTGCAGTAAAGTTGCTCTATGGACAACAGGCTTCGCCATCTTCCGGATTTTCGCTTTTTTCTTCGTTTCTTTCAAATTTAAATTTTTTCTGTTAACGCCAAAGTTCTTTTCGTCACAAAAACTTTCTATTCATGTATAATTTGCAAACGTTGATCGCAAAAATGCTTTTCTGGTGAAAAAATGATGATTTTACACAGGTTTCGATTGGGATAGCGATATTTTGTGTTTTCTTTATTATCAATGTGTGTTTTTTGTTTGACTAAATGTTTTTCAGAGAAGAAACCTTTAATTTGAAGCAGATATCCGGTTATTTCTCACAAAAATGCGAGTCTAATGAGACGTCCGCAACATCGCGTGTACGGCTACTGTAATCAGTTGTCTGAGCACCGATCCAAAGCTTTTTTCAAAAATAAAAGCGGGAAAGTAAAATCGCGTTTTTCTTCTAAAGTTGTCACATCTTTAATTTTTTTGAGTACACCATTCGATTCGCAAAGAAAAACTATATAATATACTGCTTTCACCTGAAACCCTATTTTTTACTGCCCCTATGCCTTTAAGCTTGGGGAAGTAAATTCTTTTTTTTTTTGAGACAGAATATTTCATTTGTCTCATACAGAGGATACTACAATAAATGAGAAGAAAAGTTAAAAATTTTTTTCAGTTTTGACTTCAGGAAAAAAATCCAGATGGCCTTGGATAGCAGTACCTGGACGGTGCCAAGGAGAAAGCCTACGTTTTGTAGAAACTATTTTCGAGTTCATATTTCAGCTATAGATATAAAATTGGAAGAAAAATCCGAAATATTCATGAAATATTTTTTCACAATTCGATGGTCCGTTCTCTGACGGTCTCTTCATTCTTTTTTCACTACTCTGGAAAAATTCCTAGTGGCCTCTTCAAAGGTTCTTCAATGACTACTCGAAGATGTCACTAAAGTGGCCACTGAAGCCAGTTTTTTCGCGTCTAATGAAGAAAATATGCGGAGTCACATCACCTTTCCAATAAATTCAAGATAAAATTGATTGAAATAGTTTATTGGCCCCGAAAGTGCCCACTAAAATGGGTCTAGTAGTACCGCTTAGTTTTTTAAAGTGGCTCCGAATTTGACTACTTTAGTGACCACTAAGACGTCGAATCCCTAAAGTGGCCACTAAAAATTTTATTGGTCTAGCAGTACGACTTAAAAGGGCCACGAATCCGACTGCTTTAGTCGCCACTGGAACTTCGAAACCCTAAAGGGGCCACTAAAAATTTATCAGTCCTTTCTTTTGACCGCTTGGATGAGGGAGAAGAAGACGCAGACGGTTAGATTGTTTCAAAGAGGGGTTATTTGACTAATTGCCCATTTTTTTTCGGTTCTTTCAATTTCGATTTCAATGATTTCTTATTTGATAAGTTAATTCTCATTTTTTTTTCTTAAAATCTGTAAAGTGCGGCCTTTTTTCTGAGAACAATAAAAGCGAGAGCAATCCGCCTACTGCTCAAAGAACACAGCGGCGTCTGTCGGGCCGTCGTCTGCGCCCTCATTTCGCCCATCTCTCTTCCGAATCGATACGGCGGGACACCTGCGCCCTTTTTTTCATCCTTTTCTGCCGCCTTCCTTATGTTCCAGCCTTTTAGAAGGTCTTACTGGAACGGTTTTCCATTTTTTTATTGAATAAATTAACCTTTTTTTATCTTAAGAAAGGAGCTTTTTTTGTATTTTTTTCGATTTGAAATTGAGTATTTTAAATTCACTTGAACAGTAGATTCATCACATTCCGTCGAAAAAAACGCGTTTTTTTCAATATTTCAAATAAAAAAAGCAGGTCATAATGAGTTTAAATGGGATTAAGTATGTTTTTTTAGGATCGGCTATTTAAAAAAATTCCCCCAAAGAGGAATTATGTCTTATTTACTCCGATAAATGTGTATTTTATATACACTTCTCTAAAAAAATAAAAAAATTATAAAAACTCAATAATTAGTTCGATAGAGCGCGTTTGAGGGACATTTAGTGAAACATTTTCATGGAAAGATAAATTATCATAGCTTTTTCTATAATCAAATCAACGTTAAAAGTGTTTTGAAAAACAGTTTTTATCTTAAAATTTGATAACAACTTTACGTCCGCGTGAAGTTGTCCTTTGTGACGCTTTTGGTGCATACACTCAACGCAAATTCGCATACTGAGCATTTTACATATTTTTTTCATATCTTTTTTTATATTTATTATTTCTGTTTGAGAACGTTTTTCAATAAACTTGTTTTTTTATGAAAACCGATTAAAAAAATAGGAAAAAAATAGATTATTTTGAAATCTTTGTTTTTCCTTCAAACTTGAGTTTTTTTCACGGCTTCACTAATTTTTTTCCGCTTTTTTTTGTTTGATTTTCCCCTCTCAATTCATATGTTTTAGATTGTATAAAAGATGGGCGATTCGCCAGTTTCTGTTGGTTCCAATCGGGACGCTCAAGAAAACGATGATGTTGAAATGAAGTTTTCCCTTTCCAATGGTAGTTTTCGGACTTCTTTTCGCTTTTTCAAATCATATTTTGAGGAAAACTCATCGAGGTCCTAGAGACGATCGACTACCTGAGAAAGACGAAGAATCCGTTCGATAAAAAGAAAAAGATCGATACGCTCTTCGAGAAAAGTTTGATTCGACACAAGGTTTTATCAAGGTTTTTTTTTCCATTTTTGAAATATTTTTTTAGGACACATGGAAGGATACGGATTTTCTGATCCTTGTCTACGGGGAGAATGAGACTTTGTTTCCATATGCACAATGTCGAAAGTGCGGATATTACATTGGTTCCGGCTGTGGCGGACATAAATCGTGCGGTTTTAAATGAGATATTGATTGAAACTTTTTGGGAAAAAAAGTAACTTTGAGTAGGAAAGAGAAAAAAATAATTGATTTATTGAACTTTAACCCCGAGAATTGCTTTTTTTCTGAATTTTTTTGAAGTTATAACTTTCATGCTACTCATATTTTTCATAGCTTATAATTCTGAGACTTCATTATCTTTCTCAGACGCCACAAGGCCCAATGCGAAGCGTACCAAATGAACCACCGCAAGAGGGTCAAGGAATTCGATCCCGAAGTTGAATTTCGCGCCTTTTGTCAGTTTCATTATTGTAACACGGAAATTTGCTTGATTTTTCAGTACCCTCCGACGTTCCTGGCGATTTTGCGAGCACCTCTTTTGATCACTATGATCCAACGACCTATGGGACGACGACTTTGGAAACTATTTTGAAGGAAACCGATCAGAATCGGTTCGTGCGACTTTATTGGCTAACATGAGAAAAATAATACGAGACAAATCTACTATTTGAAATCCGAAAAATGTTGGAATGGCTTGAGGCGTCGCGTTTGCGCCCGACCAAAAACGACTTGCGCGCAACGCTTTTGAGATTTTTCGACCGCAACGCCCTTGAGCCATTCCAAATGCGGACAAGAATACGAGGTATACAAATATTCAGCTCGTGACTGTGATGGTTGGTAGTTGGGAGACAATAAACGGGTGAAAGCTTGAAATCGCTCAAGGCGTCGCGTTTGCGCCCGACCAAAAACTACTTGCGCGAGGCTAGAAATTTGAGAGAAGAGCCTACGATTTTTCGACCGCAACGCCCTTGAGCCATTCCAAATGCGGACAAGGATACGAGGTATACAAATATTCAACTTGTGACTGTGATGGTTGGTAGTTGGGAGACAATAAACGGGTGAAAAGCTTGGAATGGCTCAAGGCGTCGCGTTTGCGCCGGACCAAAAACGACTTGCGCGCAACGCCTTTAAGGTTTCTCGACCGCAACGCCCTTGAGCCATTCCAAATGCGGACAAGGATACGAGGTATATGGATATTCAGCTTGTGACTGTGATGGTTGGTAGTTGGGAGACAATAAACGGGGATTTCAACCCGAGCCGAATAGTTGAGATATTTGACGAGACAGCTGTTGTTTGAGGTCTATAAGATTTTGGATGAAAATTGGAGGGGTTGATTTGGAAAATTTAGAACTGTAAAGGGATCGAAAAGGGATTTTTGAAGTTGCGCGATTTTTTGAATTTTTCGTTGATCTTGGAATTTTTCACATAGAAATTTTGAGCGTGAAGCAGTTTATTTTTTCTTAAACTCAGTGGTTTTTAAGCGTTTGATGAAAAAAGCCGTGATTTTGAGATCCTTTTGGTTATCTAGACTTTATATAGGCCGCATTTGGAATGGCTTTTTCAAGCCGCGCCCGACCCACAACGACTTGCGCGATATGGTATTAAGGATAAATTTAGCATGCTGTTCAACGTCTTTAAGCCATTCCAAGTGCGACCACGGTATTTGGCGCCAAGAAAAAAATTAAAAGATATAATTTTTTTGATTTTTTTAAACTCCCTAAAGTATATCGATGGTTCTACAAGTCTGCTCAAGAAAAACTCTGGATTTTTAAAATTTTCCAACCATTTTGATCATTTCAAAGCAAAAAAACCTATGCAACCGTGGCCCTTGTGCTTTTTCTGTTGACGGGTTCGCGTGAATTGGTTTGGACAACGCTGCTGGTGACAGTGACAGTAATTGTAGAGGGAGCGAACCGTTGGAGGAAGGCAAAGTTCGAGTACATTGCGATAAAAGCTGAACGGTACTCCTTGGAACGCCACATGATCACGTAGAAGGCTTGCGAGTAGATGATCAGAACGAAGAAAATCTGGAAATTTTGGGGGTTAATGGATCTTTTTCTGAAGTTCTGTTTGACTCGGGCCTCGGACGCGCTCCGGACGTTTCTGGGCAGTTCTAGGGATCACTTAAAAATGCTGAGGCTACTAAAGTGGTCACTTAAGAGTTCTGACGGTACTAAAGTGGTCACTTGAGAGTTCTGACGGTACTAAAGTGGTCACTTGAGAGTTCTGACGGTACCAAAGTGGTCACTTGAGAGTTCTGACGGTACCAAAGTGGTCACTTGAGAGTTCTGACGGTACCAAAGTGGTCACTTGAGAGTTCTGACGGTACTAAAGTGGTCACTAGACTTGCTCGGAAACGCCTGGGGCGCATTTCCAATGTCCAAGGATATGAGAGCTAGATTTTTCACTACGAGATTTTAAAAAAAGGCCTTGATATTTTTGGAAAATTTGAAAGTATGAGCGATCATGTTAACTGAAGAGACGCCAGAGAAACAGGATCGCTCATGTTTCTCTGGCGTCTCTTCAGACCTCTGTTGATCTCTCGCTTCCTTCTTTTTTCCCGATTTTCTTTCCATACCGATATTTCCTGAACTTAATATTGTTTTAATGATTTCAAACATCAGATGAAAAGAGGAAAATTTAAAATTTAAACTTTTTCATCAATTTTGTACAAGGCTACTTCGAGCTGATTCAAGCTCCTCAGACACTGAAATTTCGGACTTTTGATGGTCCATAACTTTTTTCACGTACGTATTGGGCAATTCTCGAGACCAGATTTGAAATCAGCGTGAAAAACTAGATCTAGAAAAGCTGGTCTCATTCAGAAGTCCCACTGCGTTCAAAGACCATTCCCTGGTCAGAACTTCTTCCCATTTTCTTCGAGATCCTCACCATGTTACTGGTCAGAAACACGGACAACGTGCTTTCTTCATCGAAAAAGATGTTGATGATTGTGTGTCCGAGGGTGGCCGAGTACCAGGAGAAGACGAAAATCGCTGTGATCACTTTGAGACGACGGACTACTCGTTGGGTCTCGCCGCGGCCTTTTCCTGGAATTATAGCGGTTTAAAGGCGCAGCTTTGGACCTCTAGTAGGGTCCTTCAGACTCGTCTCATAGATTTCTGGGAAAACTTTTAGGGGCCACTATAGGGTTTTGACGTTTTAGTGGGTGCTATAGTAGTAATATTAGTGGAAACTTGAGGGGTTGTGAACTTGTGGCCACTACAGAAGTAATAAGGGCTCCTACTAGACCACTAAAAATTCTAGTGGCCACTTTAGGGGCCAATAGATCAACATAACTGGCTCAATCTGTTTGTTTTAAAGTTATCAGAGTTACTGGAAGGAATACTGGATTAAAAACTACTGAAGTGGCCACTAAATAGAAAATCTAAAACGGAAAATAGTGGCCACTAGAGAGGTGGGTTTAGTGGCCACTTTAGTGACCTTCCAAGTAGTCCTTGGCGAGCCTCTATAGTGGCCACTAAACATTTTCCCAGTATAGGAAATTTCTAAACGGACCAGTTTTTAGATTTATTAGCTCATGACCTTGGTTTTTTGATAAAAGTTGGTACTTTTTTCACCGGCTTTCTTATTTTTTTTAGATCTTTAAAAGGAAATTTTCAATTTTACCAGGTCGTTTTCAATCAATTTCAAGTTCAGACCATTTTTCGTTTCGGAAAACCACATCTCGAAACATCTTCTTCTATTTATTCCCTTCGCTCACCTCTATAATGCATCAGAATGATTATGACGACCAGCAAGGCAAAAACCGTTGAATTTATAGCGAAATTGCATGCCATCCAGGTGTGACTGATCGATGGGATCAGCGCTGAAAAATGCTGATTTTTTCCTTTGGAGTTTGATTTACCGATAGGTGGGTTGCAAAAGATGAGAACCTCATCATCCATGTGCATGAAGCCCCAAATGGCGAAAATCATTCCGAAAACGAACCCGGGAATCAACATTTTGAGAACGTAGGGGCCTGTTTGGTAGGTTCGGTACCTGAAGTTTAACTATTGGAAATCTAGAAAAGCCTATGTTAAACCAAAATTTTTTGAATAGAGCTTGGTGTTCGTCTTTCCAGGAAAAGCTATTCGCAAAGTTCAGAAGTTATAAATCCTGGATTTTGATTGACAATGAAGGGGATAATAATCAAAATGGATTTTCGAAGAAAGTGAAAGGATTTTCGGAAAACATTTGAATACATATTTTATGAAAATGGCCAGCGTCCACATACATACGAAGCTACAGTACCCTCAGAAAAGATACAAAAACTTTTTACAAGTGAAAATAACAGCTCCAGAATTTTTCAGAAAGATCAAGTTACGTACAAAAAATTTATGGTCAAAAAAAGTGTTTTTTTCGTTCTTTTTTTGTCAGAACTGTAAAACGTCTTTTTATCTCCCCCTTATTCTAGAAAGTGTTGTCCGATTTGAAATAGATTTTTTTGAAACCATACAACAAAAAAAGTATCTGCTGTAAAACATAAAAAATCTAACAAGGGAGGTCATTTTACTTTGCGGTTGGGATTTTTGTAAAAATTGGCCAGAACGCCCCTTAATGTACCAGAAGAAGCTTCTGAAAGCCTCAAACTTTCTACTTCTCGAGAAAAGACGCTCAAAATCCATTAAATTGAGCTTTTTTCGGGCTATTTCTTGAGAACGAGAAAGTTTTGCAGGTTGAGACTTTCAGAATCTTCTTCTGATACATCAAAGAGCGTTCTGGCCAATTTTCAGGAAGTGGCGATTTTTCTGCTGAGTTATTCGGTACCTCATGGGTAGAAGAACCAGGGAGAGAATGTCGACCAGCATCATCAACATGCAGACCGTTTGCATGCTGGCGAAAACCACGTAGCCCGACTCGATCGGGTAACATTGATAGCGGCGGAGTTGGATTCCGAAGATCAAGAAGTAGGCGTTGAACAGCTCGTAGAGCAGGCAGACGGCGTGGAAGAATGAGGAGGCGCATTGGAGATAGGCTGGAATGTACTATTCTGTTTGAATATTGGTTGGAGAACTCTGGTTTTTCGTGAATTCTACATTTTTGTCTCGAAACTCGAGCAGTTAAGCGGGTTGTAAGTTTCTAGAATTGTAATAAGGCTTCTTATTTATTTAGTTATTTTATTAGCTTGACTTGAAAAATTATATATTCTTGCGCTACCTGACTATTATCAATTTTCATACCTGTGTCCTTATTTTTCGACCTTGATGGTATTGATTATTATAGAAAACGAAAGCTAAGACAGTTTTTTTTTCGGATTTTATGATGATTTTTTGATTTTTACTCGTAATTTTTTAAAAATTTCGAGTATGTAAAGAGCATTAAGCATGTAAAAAATGTTTTTATTCAATTTGAGCGAATTCCTTTCGAAATGAGCCATTTTTCAAGCTTTCCTGAAACTATTCTGAGTGAAAATAATCACCTGACTTGCCGCGAAGCTCCTTCCTCGTCATTGTCAAGTAGATTATATGAAAATTCCCGAAATTCCCGACGATATTGAAGAAAATTATGTAAAATGCGACCATTCGCTGATTGATCCATTCGAGAAGTGTCTGGTCCATTTTGGCTGAGAAAAATATTTTTTTTATTTTTTTATAAATTTTTCAATAAAAAAATGACGATTTTGGCGGGAAACCCTTGTTTTTATGAAAAAAATGAATAATTATAGGTGCTCAGAAGATTTCTAAAAGAAAAATACCTCGAGAAAATGATCGTTTTCTATGAAAATTGCGCCTACGAAGTGATATTTCCCTTTGGAATCGCAAAAAGCTACATTTTTCAGCTACAAAGTATAACTCAAACCTTATTTTTGTGTAATTTCTAAAAGCGAAACAACTTTATTATAAAGGAAAAAAATGGAATGATAGACTCAAAAAAATTAAAGGAAAAATTATTTTCTCTGGGTTTTTAAGGATAAAAAGGAGGAAGGAAATCAGAAAAAGAAAAAAACTACAAAAAATAAACGATTCAATTATGTTTTTGGGTGATTTTAACAAATTGTGCTTGAAATACAATTTTTTCGAGAGAAAGTCATGGTTTTTGTCTGCGAATCAAAAATGAGTCATTTTTTTGAATGGAAAAATTTGAACAAGTGCGGCTAACAACCTGAAAAGAGGGTCATGAGGTTGTGAATCAGGGTTCATCTATAGTCCGTTCTCGGCTGGCTCGGGGCAGCGAACGGGCGGTTCAATTTTCGCGGCGAAGGTAGATCATGGCGCGCCTTCCATAAAAGCCCCATTTTATCACTTATTTGTTTTTTTATTTTGTATAGTCAATGTTTCCCGACTTGAAAGACGAGGGAGGCGGGCAAAGGGGCGGGACGCGTAGCGTGTGCGTACGCGGTTTTTAGCTCGAATTCAACTCAACCTTCAGCGACTATTTGGAGAGCTCGTTTATCGCTCTTTTATTTCTTTTTGAAATATGAAAAAAGAACAGTGACCAAGCTTTTTGAATAGCCGCTTGCGGTTGAATTGAACTGTCGCCAAGAACCGCGTACGCAAACGCTACGCGTCCCGCCCCCTGCCCCGCCTCCCTCGCCTTTCAAACCGGAAAATATTGACTATATTTAGTCGATCCAAAGAAAAATTAAAAGCAATGAAATGAAATTGAACGAAAAATTATTTCAAAAGAAACATAAATAATTCTCCAGATGAGGATCTTATTAAAGGCGCATATATGACCGCCAAGACATACGTCGGCTGGATCCCACCCCAGGGGTTTGAGGGGGGTAGGCCGCACCCCGGGGTGGGATCCAGCCGACGTATGCGCCATGACCTACCATCGCCGCGCAAGTTGAACCGCCCGTTCGCTGTCCCAAGTCAGCCTTGAACGGGCTGTACTACGCGAACTCGCGGATCGAGTTCAAACTTTGGTGATTGATAGACTCACAAGGAAGTGTGTGAACATCGAAGATCTGGTCGAAACTGATGTGGTAGATACTCCTGGGCATGAGTATTTGAAAACAAAAATTTTCATCCGCTAAGCGCCATAGGATACTGAGAAATAGCCTGTCGAAAATGTACCGAAAAAACTCGAAACATGATTTTCTTCGGTTTTTTCGATTTTTAAAACGTCTACTGTTATTCACTATACTCTAAGAAACACGAGAAAAGAATTAGTTTTTGAGATTTTATTGTACATTTTCGACGGGCTATTTATCAGTAACCCTATGGCGATTACCAGATGATTCTTTTCATTTTCGAATACTCATATCTGGGACTACCTACCACAGAAGTTTGGGCCATACGACATACTTCCCTCTCCAGGTCAGGATACTTGAAAACAGGAGATATCATCTGCTAAACCCGCCGAGAAAAACCTTGTTGGAAATGGGCTTGAAAATCATTAGAATTTCGCTTTTTATCTCGTTTTTAGTCCCAATACAAGTGCCTCAAATGATCGGGCTATGATAAAACAGCCAGAAAATATGAAAAAAAAAAAACCAGAAATTTGCTATTTTTCAAGCCTTAAACTGTTCATTTTCGACAAGATTATTTCTGGGTACCTTTTGCGGATAATATTGACTGTTTTCAAGTACCCTTACCTAGCTTTATAAACCACCAAAGTTTGAACTCGATCCGCGAATACAAGCTCGCGTAGTTCCTTGATGAGAACAAAATGCGGTTTTTAAAACGCGTCCGACTTGAAACGACTCACGCGCGGTGGAATAAATAATCACTCGAACAGGCTGCAGAATTTGAACCGCGACTTTTTGAGCCATTCCACGTGCGACCAAGCGGTTTCAAGTCTTTATCAATGAGAAAACAGGAAGATTAGCTTCTAATTTACCCACGCACCTTCCTTTGACATTTATTTTTCAGCCTGAAAATGCCAAATCTCTTCTCTTTCGAATAATATTTACTGAAATTTGTGCAAATTTCCACAAGCAACAGAGCGTAAATTCAATTTCTTTATTCAAAATGTTAAGGTGGTATGTTTATGAGTAATACAACGAGAGGTTCATAAAGCAAGAGATTATTAACGATTGGATGGGTTTTTAGCGTTCTGCGGATTAGTCACCGAAAATTACTAAAAATCTGTTGTGAAGATTGTGAGTTTTATGAATAGATTCAACATGAAGAGTGAAAAAAAAAATTTTTTTTTCAATTTTCATCCTTGTAGACGAGTTTCAGTAGCACTAATATGATTATATCGATCGAAATTTTGTCAAGAATTTTATAAAGTTATAGAAAAGAATCTGAGAAAAAATAGCCTCGAAAAGAAACACAAGTCTGCTCCATTGATAATTGAGACGAATTCAGCTGTCAAGACTATTTTTTTCGATTGAATTTTATGTGCATTTTCAAAGGAGAGATAAGAGTTCAAAAATTGTCCATGGAGCGAAGATGTGCGTCAATTTTTGGCCATAAGGATATTTTTCACAGAAGGGCCTATTTAAATTTTATAAACTAGAGTGTAAGTTTGATGTTTCAAATATGTACTGCGGATTATCAATGGAGCGAGTAAGAGGGTCGATTTTCCGCTCCGATTACCTCAGACTACTTTTTTCAAGTTTTTCAAATCTAGAAGATTAGAAGGACAAAGACCTATCCAACAGTGGCTGCAGCCTTTTTGACTTTTTTCGAAGCTGTCGCCTCTTGTTGGGAAGGTTGGACAGCGCTGTTGGTGACAGTAACGGTGATTGTCGATGGGGCGAACTTTTGCAAGTAGGGGATACTGGTGGAGTACATGGAAACGAAGGCGGAACGGTACTCCTTGGAACGCCACATGATCACGTAGAAGGCTTGCGAGTAGATGATCAACACGAAAAAGATCTGGAAGATTTCGTGGTTTTTTGGGTTTTCTCAGGAATGACTGAATTTTCACTCGGAGCAATTTTTCAACTTCGTTTTTCGAATTTGCGAATTTCCGGGAAAGATTTAGTGGTCACTATAGAGGCAAGGACTACTTGGAGAGGACACTGAAGTGGCCACTAAACCCACCTCTATAGTGGCCACTATTTTCCGTTTAAGTGGCCACTCCAGAGGTTCTCTATTTAGGGACCACTTCAGTAGTTTTTCATCCAGTATTCCTTGCAGTAACTCTGATAATTTTAAAACAAACAGATTGGACCAGTTATGTTGATCCATTGACCCCCAAAGTGGCCAATAAAATGTTTAGTGGTCTAGTAGTAGCACTTAGACCTCTATAGTGGCCACTAATTTTTAACCCCTTAAGTGGCCACTAATTTGACTACTATAGTGGCCACTAAAACGTCAAAACCCTATAGTGGCCACTAAAACTTCGAAACCCTACTGTGGCCTTAAAGTTTTTCCCAGTTCTCACCATGTTGCTGTTGAGGAAAACGGAAAGAGTGCTCTCTTCGAAAATGTTGTTGATAATATTGTGTCCGAGAGTGGCCGAGTACCAGGAGAACACGAAAATCACTGTGATCACTTTGAGACGACGGATAACTCGTTGGGTTTCATTGCGTCCTTTTCCTGGAAGTTGATTGAATTTTTGAAAGTTCATTCGTTTCTAGCTATGAGGTTATAACCTGGTAAGCGAAGTTTAAAGCGGAAGTATAAGTTTTAAAAGTTTCACAAGTAATTCTCCCTAAACTAGCGTTCAAATCCCTACCTCGATAGTACATTAGGATCGTCACTAGGATCAAAAGACCGAGGACAGTCGAGTTAATGGCGAAATTGCACTGCATCCAAGCGTGACTGATAGCCGGGACCATTGCTGGAATTTTAAAGATTAATAATTATAATTTTCAAATAAGGGTGATTTGAGTTTCAACTCGAGGATCAGTAGACTATCTCGAAGTCTTTTTGAAAAGCTATTTTTTGAATTGTTGGAAGCTCATTCTTTTTATCTCAGATAAGTGTAGAAAAGTCATAATGACTTCCCGACTTAAAACGACTTGCGCGCGATGACATTTTTGAGCATTAAAAAACTTTCCTCAATGCTTTGACCCATTCCAAATGCGACCACAGCTTTCATAGTCAATAGGAATGAAACATACTGGAAGTCACGTATTTTTAAAATTTTTGTTTATCTTTTTTTATCTCTTAAAAAGCCGTGTCCGCATTTGGAATAACTCGAAGCGTCGCGGTAGCGTTTTAGTTTGAATAGGAGTAAAATATTCATTCAGAAGCTTTCTCAGATTTTGAGGTCTTCGCGCGAAAGTCGTATCAAGTCGGGCGCAAACATCAGGCCATTCTAAGCGCGACCATGATTACAAAATGAGCTAAATTGAGCAATAATCAGCTATATTATGGTAGAAGAAAATCAAGAAGCCCCAATATTAGGTAAATTTACCGATCGGTGGGTTACAGAAGATTAGAACTTCATCATCGACATTCAGCCAGCCCCAGACGGCGAAAAATAGGCCGTAGATAAAGCCGGGAAGACACATTTTTACAACGTAGGGACCTGTTTCAATGGTCCGGTACCTGAAAAACTAAGTCCTTCAGTATAACTTCAAAGATTTTTACCGCATAGGCAGGAGAACTAGAGTTAGAATGTCGACCAGCATCATTAACATGGCGACGGTTTGCATACTGACGAGAAATATGTAGACGCCTTGGATCCGGTAGCACTGATCACGGCGAAGTTGTATCCCGAAGATTAGGAAGTAGGCGTTGAACAACTCGCAGAGCAGGCAGAAGAAGTGGTAGGTTGAGTTGGCGCATTGGAGATAGGCTAAAATGGGGGAATATTTTCTCTTCCTGGACAGTACGTTTTGTGACATAGGCAAAGTCGGAAAGAGTGAAAAAAAGGTTCCATAGAAAGTTTCCTTTTAAGGAGATAAAGGTTCCTTTTTTGCTACCTTTTTGCGCCATTTCATTGGCTGCTATGCACCATTTTTGGTGCCTCTCCTTTTTTCACCATTTCTTGAGCCTTTAAAATCCCAAAAAGGCTCGGAAAGGGAACTCTCTTTGCTGCCTTTTTGCTGCCTCTTTTGAGCCTCTCCCTTTTAGCAACCATTATCCCCCATTCTTCTCTATAAAATATTGAAAAAAAAGTACCTGATTTTCCTTGAAGCTCCTTCCTTGTCAGTGTCAAGTAGATGATATGAAAATTCCCGAAATTCCCAACGATATTGAAGAAAATGATGTAAAAAGCGACCATTCGCTGATTTATCCATTCGAATGTTGATTGCTCCATTCTAAATCAAATTTAATTCACAAAATTGGAAAATAGTTCAAGCTTGTAAAGCGAGGATTAAGTCAAAACTAAAAAAAATAGAAACAGCGGAAGCCGATTTTGTGTGTAGATGAATAGACTAAATTCCAAAACCAGTTTATCCGCTTTTAAGCGAAAAAATCAGTTGAAATAACAAAGCAATAGTTTTGGATACAAATTTTTACGTAATTCGAAAATTTGTAAATTTGACGTGAAGAAGGGAAAAATAAAAGGAGAAAGTTTCCCCGAATCGGAACCGGTAAATATTGACTACAAAAAATTTTAATACTGAGAAATTTGAAATTTCCTCATTCTGAAGTACGGTAAAGCCCACGCATGGAGAATGTGGGTCAAGCTTATTTTTGAAGTGCAACCGACTCAGATCGGTTTGCGCTCAGGGACATCAAATAGTATGTGAAACATTACCGTGAAGCTTTGAGCCATTCCATGTGCGGACGCGGCGTTTTGAGAATCCAAGATTCTTGAGAAAAAATCGCAACGTTTTGGGCGTTTTGGCTCCCGACTAAAAACGACTTGCGCGCTGAAACATGGAATAGTATGAGAGTTCACTTTTTTTGCTCTTATTTAGCCATTCCAATTGCGACCATAGAAATTCAAGTTAAGTAACGATTAAACTTCGATTTTTCGCGAACACTTGATCGGTTTCACGCGAAACTTCTGCCTATTTAGTTTTTCGAGATGCAACCGACCCAAAGCGAGTCGCGCTTTTTGGGCTCAGAGAGCGTAAAAACAAGTTTTTAAATCAAGCTTTGAACCATTCCTGTTGAGATCACGACGTTTCATAATTTCAAAATTGCAAATCTTGATTCCTGTCATAATTCTCTGTTTGTAGACTTCCATATTAATAATATTTATTCATACAATCTTCAACTGTGAACTTGAGAATTATGTGCGGGGACACTGCTGCTGACGGTAGCGCCGATTGAACTGAGCCGACGGAGAAGAAAATTCTCGGAATACATCGAAAAAAAGGCTTTTCGGTACTCTCTCGACCTCCAAAGGATGACATAGAAGGATTGGGAGAAGATGATTAGAGCGAAGAAAATCTGAAAATTCTCAGAATTTTTTGAAATTGTCTTGATCAAACCATATTGCTGCTCAAAACAGTCGAAAGCGTGCCCTCATCAAATAGGCTGTTGATAATTGTGTGCCCCAAGGTTGCAGAATACCAGGAGAACACGAAAATCGCGGAAATAACTTTTAAGCGGAGAACTATTTGTTGAGTGTCCGAGCGACATTTGTCTCCTTGCTGTTTTCCTGGAATTTTTATGTGATTTTCAAAATCCATGACCATTTCTTGTAGTACTATGTAGCTCTCTTGAAGAGATTTTTGGCGGGAATTTCAAAAAAAGCTTCGTTTTGAAAATTTTATCGTTTTTCATTCTAACACTTTATTGAATTTTCAACTTTTTTTAGAAAAATTCTTGAGTTTTTTTGAAAAATCGATTGTACATTATTTTCTCAAAATACTTCAATTTCTTGCTCAGGTTTTTCGTGAAGTTGAAAAAAAGTCTATAAAATATCCATCGAAACATAGTTTTCATACGAATGATGAGCAATGAAAGTTCTACAATATATTTCAACTTTCGAAGCCTTAAAAATAGACGAAAATAAATAGAACCCTTGAGAAAGTCTATACTACTAAATCGCGACTTTTTTTTTGCATTTTGCGCTCCAAGTTGGCTCGAATTTGCTGTATCAGGCGAATTCTGGGAAGGTAACCAGGAGGAGGTTGGAAGGTGTATTTAAGCTAGAAGGTCTTGGGAAACCCTTTGGAAGGCGTTCGGAAGGAAGTTAGATAGTATTTGAAAGGTAAAAATAGAAAAGACCTGCCAGAAGCCTGCTCGAAAGCTTCCAGAAGCCTTTCGAGGAGCACACAAGCTTTCCAACTTTTATTTGAAATGAAACCTCACCGCGAGTATACATCAGAACTATTATGACCACTAGAAGGCAAAGGACGAATGAATTGACCACCAAGTTGGACGCCATCCAAATATGACTAATATGAGGTACCAAGGCTAAAAAAATTACAATATCATCTTGAATTCATCATTTTCCGGTATTCTCACCAACAGGAGGGTTGCAAAAGATGAGAACTTCTTCATCAACATGTAGCCAACCCCAAACCGCAAAGAAAATTCCGAAGGCAAAGCCAGGGATCAACATTTTGATCACATACGGAGTTGTGTTGATCAAGCGATATCTGAAGGGTTCTCCCATGAATTTATTGATTTTTAAAAAATTACCGTAGTGGTAATATTACCAGGAAGACGATATCAAGCTGCATCATTAGCATAGTTACCGATTGCATACTTGAGCATAGGATATAACTCGATTCTATTGGATAGCATTGATCTCGACGGAGTTGGATACCGGATAAGAGGAAATAGGCGTTGAAAAGCTCGAGAAGCAGGCAGATTGAGTGGCAGAATGAGGAGGCGCATTGGAGAAAGGCTGAAAAAGGAGCTTAAAGGTTTTTCAGTGGTGAAATTGAGCTTGAGAAAAATTTTTTGGCAATCCAATTTGTAAGCTTGGTACACAAGTCTTCAGTTTGAGAATCTAAAAAAAGCCATCATTTTTTATGAAAATGTAAAGTATTGAACGTAAAGCTTATACCTATCGTTTTTTTTTTCCAAGATCAGAAAAATGGTCCTACAGTAACAATATGTGCACTGAAACGAATTTTGGAACAGTCAATAAGTTCTTTTTTGAAAAGTTTGGAAAAAAAATCTCCACTCATATCAGCATTTCTTGGCGTGTTTTTTTAAATTAAAAAAATTGGCTTGCAAAACGAAAAAGAAATATGTTAGACAGAGGAAAGTTATAACAGAGGTCACGAAGAAAAAAAGCGGCAAAATATAAATTTTAAAAAGAAGCGGAAGAATGGCAATGTTTTTTGCTCACACTCTTCATGCATTTTTCAAAAAGAACTCAAGGATTTTCGTTATTTTTTTTTCTCAAAAAAATACAGAATATTGTGCGCATCTACTATTAGGATCATAAAGGAAATATCTATAAATTGATTTTTTTTTTCTAGTTCAAAATTCGTTTTTCCCTTCAAAAACTGACCTGACTTGCTTCGCAGCTCCTTTCTTTTCCAAGTCAAGTAGATAATATGAAAATTCCCGAAATTACCGATCACATTGAACAATAATATGTAGAACGCGACCATTCTCTGGTTGATCCATTCGAAAGAATCCATTTTTTGGTTGGGAAAAATATGAACACCTTGGTTTCCTTGGGAAAAAAGCAACGAAGACGGCGTCCTCATTATTTCAGTTTTTTCGAAATATCAAAATAATTGCGACAGGATAAACAAATTTCCTACTACAAAAAAGCCCTTTTCATCGTCATTTTTTTTTTCATTTTGCTACCCGAGAAAATTCAATATTTATGGAGTTTTGAACTGAAAAACGGCACTGGTCGATTCATTTCGAAGAACTCGGGGTGGTTGACTTTGTTGAGAAGAAGCGGCGGAGACGAGTGGCACGATTTTCTTTTTCAATAAAAGGAAAAGAAAGTTTTTGGAATACATTGAAACGAAGGCTTTTCGGTACTCTTTGGACCTCCAAATAATGACGTAGAATGACTGGGAGAAGATGATCAAGGCGAAGAAGATCTGAAAATTCACTTAAAAATGGTTCACAAAAAGTTTTCAAACCATATTGCTGGTTAGAAAAGTCGAAAGAACGCCCTCTTCAAATATGAGGTTGATTATGGTGTGTCCCAAGGCTGTAGAATACCAGGAGACGACAAAAATTGCAGTTATTACTTTTAAACTGCGGACGATTCGTAGCGTTTCCTGGCGATATTTCAGTTTTTGTTGCTTTCCTGAAGGTCTTTGTTGGATTAAAAATGGTTGGAAAGATGTTGGATGTATGGGATTTTGGATGGATGAGGAAGTTATGAGTAATTGAAAAAAGTTCGAAATATTTTTCGTTTTGCTAGTCGTGGGAAAATCTTGATGGAATGAGGTCTCAAGCAGACCATGAAGAGACTATGAAGCTATGGAACCTTTTCAAAATGATTCAAAGAGCGCCCGACCCAAAACGGCTTGCGCAAGCTGCCATATGTCAGGAAAGCTTCAAACCCCGAGCCTTACTCTACAGAATTTTTGCAATAGGCAGTGCCTATGCCAGCACACTCCAAAAAAGCTTCATGCATTTTGCAAATCAGTGCTTTGCATTTTGCAACTTTTTCGTCTGTACAAAAGTGAGCCCACAAAGAAATGCAAAATGCGAGTAACTTCTATGCAAAATGCAAAGATCTGATTTTCAGGATGCATGCAACTTTTTTCGCAGAATGCCGGCATAGGCACTGCACTTTGCACGATTTCAGTAGAGTTTAAGCCATTCCCTATGCCCGGTGTTTCAAACCTTCTTACCTCGAAGGTACATCAAAACCATAATGATTGACAAAAAAAATAAGACTAGAGAATTCGTAACCAGATTGCTAGCCATCCACACTTGGCTTATATGAGGCACCATCGCTGAAATAAAATATTATATTCACCTTTATTTGGCATTCCTTACCGACTGGAGGATTGCAAAAGATAAGAATTTGTTTATCAACATGTAGCCAGCCCCAAATCGCAAAAAATAACCCGAAAATAAAGCCAGGAATCAACATTTTAAGCACATAACGAGTTGTGTGGATTAATCGGTAACTGAATTTTTCCAGAAAGTTTTTGATAGTTTTTTGGCCTCACTGTGTTGGAAGAAGAACGAAAAAGAGAATATCAATCTGCATCATTAGCATAGTTATCGATTGCATACTTGAGCAGAGTACATAAGTTGATTCGATCGGATAGCATTGATCTCGACGGAGTTGGATACCGGATAAGAGAAAATAGGCGTTGAAAAGCTCGAGAAGCAGGCAGATTGAGTGGCAGAATGAGGAGGCGCATTGGAGATAAGCTTAAAAGAGGGTTTTTTGAAAGTCAATTGATGAACTCTTCAAGAAAGGAAATTCTATAAAGTTCGGTAGTTTTTAAGACAAAACTATGTTAAATACAGAAAAAGTTGGTCTGACTTAGTGAGTTGTGAGGAAATTTTAAGAAAGAGAAGAAATAAGAATTTTTTTTTGAAAAAGGACAGTGCATTGTGTTCACGTGAACTTTTTTTGGCAGGGTTCTAAAGTTTGGGGGAAGGGGGGCTTCAGGCTCACCTTGTTCTTATAGTACTGAATTTAGTGAGGTTTCAATTAGACCTTGAGGATAGCTATGAAAAACACTTCATTGTCAACTTTTACCTAAGTTCTTTTTTGTATATCTTTTTCCTGAAAAATTCTGTCTGACCTGGCAGGGCTCTCAGCTCCCTAACCGACAAGGTCATAGAAACATTGAAATAGCACAGAAACACGAGAGCGCCCCTAATAGAGAAGAGAGGGCGCAGAGACATCAGAAAAAAAAAATCATAATCCGAAAGGAAACCTGATTTCGATTGTAGTTCCTTTCTCTTCAATGTCAGATAGATAATATGGAAATTCCCGAAATTGCCAATCACATTGAAGATTATTATGTAAAATGCCACCGTAAGCTTATTGATCCATTGGATTAGGTCTGTCCTCATGTCTGCAAAGAAATTTTGAAGATATCTTGTTTTCCGAAAAGTATTTTGTCTATAATTATGAATTTTGAGGCAAAACATTTTGCCAAAATAATAAGAGAAGCTGATGATTTTTTTCTACGAAGGAAGGGTTTGAAAAATTTTTGAAACCAGGAAAAATCAAGTTGACGCCTCTAAAAGTACACATTTTCTGAATTTTTTTAATTATTCCCGGTTATTTTTTTGCCATAGAAGTTGTAAGTGACCCATCGAAAAAAAGAAGTTTGGTTGCTTAGAAAAAAACTTTTTTTCTAATTATTTTTTTGCAAAAATATCTTGATGATTATACCCTTCTTCAAGGCTTCTCTAATAACTGCAGACTAGAAAAAAAAAAACGAATTTTTGCTCCTTTTTCCTGGAACTTTAGAATATAGTCTACTTTTTTCGGAAAATTACTCAGAAAAGTTAGTTTTGACGGAAAATCGGCTATAAAATGGTGTTTTCTGTTGGCTTTGGGATACATTTTCCAGTCGTGAGAATGGGATTTTTTATGTTTGGTTTGTTTTTTGAGAGTTGGAAGGAATCTTTGATTGGAGAAAGATCCTTTTTTTAGATTACGGTGTTCATTTTGTTAGGGATCTGTGATGTTAGTCTCAAGATTGAAAAAATCAATTTCAACGTGCTCAAGCATTTTTTACAAGGAATTGCGGTAGTCTGAACTTGACAAGCTTGAAAAATTAAGCAAAAATCAAAATCAAAAAGATTTTAATGAGAATAAAAATTTTCGGTTACGGTAATCAAGGGGTCTGCAAGTTTCCGTGAGTCGATTTAACGCTTTAAAACACCTAGATAAGCTTGGAAATCGCTGAAACGTTGACAGAGGAGTATGGTTTTCAAAGAATAGTGCAGTGGAGCAAAAATAAACGTGCAAGGATTACTGTAGTCTCAGTTGAAAAACGATTAAAAAAAATCTGAGAGAAATTTTGTTGACTAAAATCAGACGTGCTCCGGACGTTTCTGGGCACTTCTAGTGACCACTTTAGTAGCCTCAAATGATCCCTCGAATCGCCCAGGAACGTTTCCGTTTCGCGTAACCAATGTCCGAGTAAAAAAAAGTTGTCAGTGGAGCGCGTTATCTTTTTTCCAATCATCAAGGTTTCGAAATAAAACTATCAAAGTGTCATTTATTTCATTATCCACTACCGGCTGAGAGAGAAGAGGGTTTAGAGAAGTCAGAGGGTTCTGAGACGTGACCACTTTAGTAGCGTCTGCACTCTTAAGTGGCCCCTAGAATCGCCCAGAAAATTCTGGAGCACGTCCGTTTCCCATTACCAATGTCCGAGTAGTTTTTTGAAAAAAAAAGTTGTCAGTGGAGCGCGTTATCTTTTTTCCAATTATCAAGGTTTCGAAATAGAACTATGAAAGGGTCTTTTATTTCTCTATGCTCCACTACTGGATGAGAGAGAAGAGGGTTTAGAGAAGTCAGAGAGTTTTGAGACGGGACGAGTGACAAATTTTCTCATTCAAAGCTGATAGAAATCCCGATTTTTCTTTCAGAAACGTCGAAAAGCTGGATCCGATGAAGGAGAAGCTCGCGGAGAAGGAGCTGGAGCTGATGAGTGTCCGGCTTCAGGTGGAGAACGAGAAGCTGGCTGCGGAGCGGATGCGAACTCGGGCCTTTCAACAAGAGTTCGAGGCGAACCTCGCCAAGGCCGAGTACTATAGGAAGATGGCCAGCAAAATTTCTTCATCCCAATGTTCATCCTGATTTTTTGGCTGTGAAAAGACGGTTTTCGTGTCGGGATATCATTTTTTCGCTTGGCTAATGCTCCTTTAATATTGAGAATATTTTTCCTCCTAGTTTCTTTAAAATTTATAGTAAAAATGCAACTTGTTTGAAGCTTTTTTTAAAAAATATTAAAGTAAGTTTCTGGGAAAGTTTTAAGTGGCCTCTATGCCAAGGACTACTTGAAGTGAACACTAAAGTGGCCACTATTTTCCGTTTCAGTAGCCGCTATAGAGGCTCTATTTAGTGGCCACTTGAGTAGTTTTTCATCCAGTAACTCTGATAATTTTAAAACAAACAGAGTGGGCCAGTCATGTCGATCCATTGACCCCTAAAGTGACCACTAAAATTTTTAGGGGTTTAGTAGTAGCACTCAGACCTCTATAGTGGCCACTAATTTTTAACTCCTTAAGTGGCCTCTAATTTGACTACTATAGCGGCCACTAAAACGTCAAAACCCTATAGTGGCCACTTAAGGTTTTCCCAGTGAGCAGAGCGCCAATTTTTCAAAAGTGTTTTTCCTCAATTTCTCGTCTTTTGAATACCCATATCTCTCAATTTTTTCTTCTCTCTCCTCATAATTTTCAAAGTTTAAAGGCGCATACATTTATCATGAGCCTTTAAATATCCTTCGAATTAAAAAATCAACCTTCTGTGGTTCTAATTTAATACGTGTACCTTTTAATCTCACATGAATTTTTATTTTTTGGATCAGGGGCTTAATAATAATAATATAGAAGCTTATGACATGCTCCTTTAAGATTTTTTTTCTGTATTTTTTTAAACTCGATACTTGCTTCTTTATAATTTTTTTCTTTGCTTTTTTTCTTCTGTGAATCGAATACGGTTACCGTCATCATAAATTTTTTCATTTTTATGTTGTCCCCAGAAAAAAAGCCTTCTTTCACTTCGAAACACTTTCCATTCACGCGATTCATCAAAGAAATTGAACTTTTCAGAAAAAGAAAAAGTGAAGCAATGCAGCCATTTCATGAAAAAACCGCCTTCTCGTATGTCAGCGTCACTAAGTCGTCAGGAAAAACGTCTGGAGCAGGAGCTGTGGTATCATGGACTGTTGCCCCGCGAGGATATTAAGGTACCTTCCTGGGAAAGTTTTTAGTGGCCACTCCAGTAGTTTTCCATTCAGTATTTCTTCCAGTAACTCTGATAACTTTAAAAAAAAACAGCTTGGACCAGTTATGTTGATCCATTGGCCCCTAAAGTGGCCACTAAAACGTTTAGTGGTCTAATAGGAGCACTTAGACCCCTTAAGTGGCCACTAATTGTTAACCCCTTAAGTGACCACTAATTTGACTACTATAGTGGCCATTAAAACGTCAAAACCCTATAGTGGCCACTAAAAATTCTCGCAGTCTGGTAAAACTTTCAAAGACGCTTGAAAGTCACTGGAAATTTATTTAGAACTCGAGGGTTTCATTAGGAAGTGAAATTGGTATCATAAACTGTCTTGAAATCAGTTTTGAAGCTCAAAAATTAATAGAACTATTTAAAAATGAGCTTTAGAATCTTATAGATTTCCTGGTTCTGTTTTTTTAAAAATAGGACCTTGTAGATTTATTTTTTTAAGCTGTAGAAAAACTTCAAAAAAATTTTTCTAGTTTCAAATTTCAACTTTCTTATGCATGTAGCTCAAGCGGAAAGTTACGATTCCTTCCCACAAAAAGTAGAATTTTTTTGTTTTCTTTTTCAGTTTTTTTCCTAAATCCAGGTTTTTTTGAATTTTTTTCTTTGCCAATAAGGTCTCTTGGAAAAAAATGAATAAATTTCGACTGGGGGCTGAATCAAATGTGGAAGGCTATATCATATTCTGAAACTGCTAAATGGGGAAGATTCTGGAATGCCTTGGCATCTTCCACATTTGATTCAACCCCCACAAAGATCTTTGATTTTACCCCCACCAGTCGAAACTTGCCTTGATGGGGGGCTTGTACGGACGTAGGAGGGGGACTGAAAAAAACGTTCTTCCTATCAAGAAACATATAGGCAATGTTGCGAAACAACGGCGACTTCCTCGTCCGAGTCACAGAACCCGTGGTCGGCTCGCCTCGCCAGTACGTCTTGTCCGTCATGTGGAACAAGGATCTTGACGAAAATCACGCGGTATTCCTACCCATTGATACAATTTTCACGAGTTCCTCTTCAGGTCAAACATTTTTTAATTGCCTATATGGGGCAAAAGTATTCTATTGAAAAGTATTCATTTGATTCTATCGCGCAGATGGTCGAACATCACCTCATCACCAAGGAGAGCATCACCAAAGTCTGTTTTTACGGATTACTGTAGTTTTATGTTCCGCAAGTTTGCGTCGCATTTTTTTGTATAGCTCAGATCAATTACAATGACGTCATTTAAAAACGCCCTGCGGATGGTTCGCTTTCTGATTGGTTTATTGGGAAATTAGGGGCGGAGCTTAAGCGAAGGATTGACATTTAAGATAGGGACCGCAAAGCCACGCCCCTTTTCGCGATAGAAAAAGTGGCTTTTTTTTTGGTTTTCAACTTTAATTTTGCTGTAGTTGCAAAATATGTGGAACTGGATAATAAATTTTGACACACATGTAGAGAAAAGCTTCCTCTTTCGTTTAAAAAATATTTCACGCTTTTTTGATGCGTTCGCGCGGAATGTCGTACAAAAACGTGAATGGAACTAAAAAATTTTGTCAATTTTTGCTTTTTCATGTGTTTTGAGGTCGAACGCACTCTTTCTTTTTTTAAAATAATGATTTTTGATTCAAGTAACGGTAATTTTAAAACAATAAAATAAAAAAATTCGTCTTTGCGAAAAAAATTTTTAGGGAGTGCCGAAAGTCATAATTCAAAAATATCGTTAACAAGCGAATATAATCGAGTTTTTTTGTTTTTTTCAAAAATTTAGAACATGGGCTTACTTAAATTTTTTTCTCCACAGCATCTGTGCTTGAAAAAAAGTTGTTTAATACGCAAAAAAATGTTCTTGAAACTAGAGGATAAAAATTAGCGGCGTTTATCACACCGAAAGCGGTCGAACGCAGGTTTTTTTAAACGATTATATACATTTATTAGTGAAAAAAATCTTTCAATTAAAAAGAATAAAATAAAAAAATTCGTCTTTGCCAAAAAATTTACGGGGCCGTTTTTAATGCAGCGATCGTTAAACGAGGCAAAAAGCACTAAAAAAACAGTTTTTTTCAAAGTGAATTTCCACGAAAAGTTTGAGTAAAGATTTGCGAACATATTCTGATAAAAAAATAGCTAAATTACTTCAAGTTTTTTTCTTTTTGAAATAGGCAATCTGTGCTATCCAAACGGATCAAGGGTATGGCGGATGGAAGCTCCCCTCGCTAGACCTAACAGCTTGGCGCAGCGCGTGCGCTGCGAATTTTATTTTTGAGGTCGCGAGTTCGATGCCCGCAAGCGCCAGTTTTTTGTTTTCTGGAAAATACCGACTTTTTCGGCAAACTAGCAAATTTTTATCATTTTAGCACTCTATTATGATTTGTCACATCATAATAGACCAGTATCAAAACTTGTTCTGGAAGAAAAATCGAGAAAAATGTCAAAAATGGATAATACCAAAATTTCAGTACTAAAAAAATGGTGCGCGGCGCGCCACATTTTTCGTCATAACTTTTTTCATCCTTAATCTTTTTCGAAAAACTAAACGGTTCTGAGTTTTGAATCGAAACAGCTATCAAACCATACAAAGCTCAATGCTGAAAAAAATTTTTTGAGAATTCGTCTGCGGTCCCTAATTTAAGATTTGGACGCAATAACGTTGATTGAGGATTGCTGAATAAATTTTTCGAGATGATTTTTTTGGAATAGATTTTTTTGGAATAAAAAAACGGGTTACTGTAGCCAATGCATATAAAGAAAAAAATCAAAAAAAGATGCTTTTTTTTATGGGCGGGTTACTGTAGGGGGGTGGAGTTGAGGGTCAAAAATTGGTCTTTAAAGGAACAAAGATCGATTTTTTTGTGAAGTTATGTTTAAATCACGTTGAAATATGTGTGTAAATTCAATAAGTCCATTCAAGACGACTTTTAACTGTCTGCGCTCTCTTTTCCCTCCCTGTCAAGGTAATTTGAATACAGAATCATGGAAGTGTTGCTTAGACAGAAGAGAGCGCAGAGAAATCAGACATTTTTAAGTTGTGCCGAAATGAAAAATAAATAGTAGGACTCTTGGATTTTTTTAAATAATGAATTTCCTTCCAGGCCACCGAGGTAGTTCTAAAAAAATGCGGTCCTCAGGCAGTCTTGGGAACTCGACCACGATATGATTGAAGTCAGGAAAAAGGTTGATCTCCCAAAGAATCGATAATGAATATATAAATTTTTTTCCAGTTGGGCGAAGGAGCATTTGGTGAGGTCAGCATGGGCGTCTTGAAGCTAAAAAGTTCGAGAAGAACGATTCCAGTCGCCATCAAATTGGTCAGAGAAGAAAAGATTCCACTTAGGGACGCCCAAGTTGTCCCTTTAGATTTCAAGGAGAAAAAGCTTCTTCAGAGGGATCCCTATAGGGGTTTAGGTAGAGACCGGCAACGATTTTTCGAAAAGGAATACACAATGAAACAAGGCGGGGGAGGGAGGGGCTTTAGAGGTCGAAAAAGGGCTCCCTACAGGGGTGAAGTTCAGGTGGTCCCCTCAGGGCTTTAGGGTCTGACTTGTAAGCTTCTAAAGCTTAAGCGATAGAAGCAACTTTTGCAAGCTTCTTTGGCTCATGTTTGTAGAGCTAAAGTGGTCCCTAGAGGGGAGAGTTTAACAGCCCTTAAGGTTGCCCCTTTAGGGACCACTCGATAGCTTCTTAAAAACTACCGAGGTCTAGAAAAAGGTGTTATAGTCAATGTTTCTCGACTTGAAAGGCGAGGGAGGCAGGGCAAGGGGCGGGACGCGTAGCGTGCGCGTACACGGTTCTTGGCGCCAGTTCAATTCAATCGCCGCCGACTATTTAAAAAGCTCAGGCAACCGCTCTTTTTCAACGTTTTCTACTATTTTTTGATGAACACATAACATAATCAATAAATAATTGGAAAAGGAATGAAAGGAGCAAAAAACGGGCTTTTCAAAGAGTAGCAATTGAATTGAACACGTGCCAAGAACCGCGAACGCACACGCTACGCGTCCCGCCCCCTGCCTCGCCTCCTTCGCCTTTCAAGTCGGGAAACATTGACTATATGAACGCTCAAAAATCAAATCTAAACATCCGATTGAGTTTCTTTGTTGGAGGCAAGTAGAACTGAATCTCAAAAAACCAAAATTTTTAATTTTTTCTAGAAAAGGGGGATTTTCAAAGTTTTACAGCTGCTTGAGACATTCCAGCACACCGACTTGTGCTAATTCGACTCTATTTTCATTTTTAAAGCTCAATATAATTTTTACAGACCTCATAGGCCTTTTTATGAACTGAAATTCAAACGAAGCGTTAAAAACTGTATCTGGTAGTTTCATTCAGAAGTGTGGTCTAAACCCCGTTCCTAGTGAAGTTCTTCGAGAAAAATTTTTCAGGCAAAACTGGAAAAACTGACGAAAGAGCAAATCAAGGAGATTATGCGGGAGGCCCGAATGATGCGACACTTTGATCATCCGAATGTCGTCCGATTTTTCGGAGTCGCCGCTGGACAAGAACCCCTGATGGTGGTCATGGAACTCGCCAGCAACGGGGCTCTTGACTCTTTTCTTTCCAAGAATGAGCAGTCCCTGGAGAAGAAGAACGAGATGATTCTGCAGGTTTGGATTGATGGGAGTAGAGGAAAAATAATTAATAAAGTCCATAAGTGCCTTAAAATTTGCTCTTTTGATGGCTTTCCATAGAAAAAGGAAGGTTGAGCAGAAGTTTCAGAAAAGGATGAAACGTCCTTTTTCTTGAAAGATGTGAGAATTGTCAGCTTCAGCACCTTTAGTATCGTCAAAGCAGCCTAGACTCTCCTTTTGGTTCTCAAACTTTCCGTTGAAATTTTACCCTAAACTCGTGGAAAATTCATATTTCAAGTCAAAAAAGTTTACCTAAATGAGGCTCCTTACACTACTTGAAACGTAGAACTTGAAACGTTGAAATCTCGCGAATTTTTGAGAAAATGAGCAAAAAAATAAGCTTTGAGGGTACTGTACTTTTTGTGCATGCACACACTGCACTACTGACCTTTTAATTTACGACTCTTGATTGTATTTATCCTTTTCTTGCGCTTTTTTTGCCTTTTTATTATGGTACTGCGCAGGCACAGTGATATCAATGGGTATTTTACTCTCTATATATTTTGATACAACTTCCTTCACAAAGATTGAGTGTTTTTCTGAAAAGCTGATTCTTTTTGAAAATTTGGCCTATAAATGAAACTTCTAAAGCATGACCTTTTTATTGCATCAAGTCTTTTTTGGAGCTCAGCTTGAAGGAAATCATACTTTCGAGATTAATTATCGACTATTTAAAGAATTTTGATGAAATGGACATGGTTCTTCATGGGTTCTATTATATATATTCTCAATCGAATTGATTACAAGCGTTTCTCATTTTATTGTTGTTTTTAAATCAATTTTTTTCTTCAATTTTTTTGTTAATTTGATCATATCCCATCATTTATTCAGGCGGCATGGGGCCTCGAATATTTGCACATGAAAAACGTGCTCCACCGTGACATTGCTGCCAGGAATTGTCTCTATGGCGATGGAAAGGTAGTTTTTTTTTTCTTTAAGAAAAATTCACAATGGTTTTCAGGTCAAAATTGCAGACTTTGGTCTGTCGCGTGAAGGGACGATCTACCAGATGGATCCGTCCCGACGGGTTCCAATTCGTTGGCTGGCCGTGGAAACCCTCCGGACCCAGATTTATTCTCAAAAAACGGATGTGTGGAGTTATGGTGAGCTGTTTTGGAGGGATTATTTATTTCCAGAATTTTAGGTTACTTGATTAATGTTCATACATAAACAGGTCATTTAAAAGGCTGCCGATCCCTCTCGAATTACCTTCCTGAGGATACAACTTGTACTATTGGGTCCAAAATTACCTCCATGAGGGTTGAAACTTGATTTTATTCCTAGTTTTCCAAGATTTATGAAGGCCAACTCTTCCTCCCGGCCTGTATGAGTTCTGAACTTGCCCTTCTTAAAATTCGAAAAATAAGAAAGTTTTCAAAAAGCTTTGCTCGATCAATAAATGGGACCCTTTTCGACCAAAAGTAAAACTTTTCGTTTTGAGACCTTTATGCATATTTTGTGTTTTTGGGCTAATTTTTAGGCTTGTTCAAGTTTAAAAAAATCCGAAAAACAAAAAAAAAAAAACAAAAATGATCGAAATTTTTCATAAAACGAAACCCTTTCATGTCACGAAATAACACTAAATAGCGCCTTTTCGTCTTGAGACCTTCACGATTTTTTTTTCTTTTTTCTTCAAATATTATAATCAGTTCCGTTGCTCATATGATATAGACCTTGAAAAACAACTTTTTTTGTTGACTAAAAAAATTTTTTTAGAAAAATTTTTTTATTAGAAAAATCCGGCTTTTTATTTCATTTTTTTCTACCAGATTTTGATTCGTTACAGCCGAGTTTTTGAACGAAAAATCGAGTAATATTGTATATTTTTTTGGCCACATCATATCTTTAGTCAATATTTTTTTCTGAGCTAGAAGCTTAAAAAAATAGGATGATTTTTTTAAACCCTTTTTTTAAAAACTTTTTTTATAGTTCCATGCAGGTCTTGCCAGACTAGAAATTATTTTTTTTTTCTTTAATTTTCAATTCAAAAAATAAAAAAAAATTGTTCTAGGCATCATGTGCTGGGAGATCTACAACAACGGGCTGGAGCCGTACCCGGGTATGACGGTGGTCGAAGTGAACAATCAGGTCCGAGAAGGATATCGCATGGAGCTCCCCAGCAACGTCAACCCGGACATTGTCGGCTTGGTCAAGGTCCTGAGAATTTAGGGGTTTTCAGAGTTTCTAGGGGATTTTTCACACGTAGTCGATTCACAGCTCTCTTGAGACGCTAAGGGGCGTGGCCTGTCTGCGCTCTCCACCAACTAGGCACTATCTCTTTCATTATCGTGTCAGGGCCTTTTATCGATGGCTCAGGCCAACTGTAAATCAGCTATAGCATTTTTGCAATTTGGAACCCCATGTCTTCTCTGCGCCCTCCTCGTCTCTCGACGACCCTCTCATGTTACCTTGCTATTTTTGTGTTTCTCTGACCTCGCCGGTGAGGGAAAAGAGACGCGGACGCTCGAAAACTCGTATATTCAATATTTATTCCATTTGGATACGTATAGCCAGTTCACGGCTAGCTTGAGACGCTTAGGGGCGTGGCCTGTCTGCGCCCTCCACCAAATATGCACTATCTCTTTTATTATCGTGTCAGGACCTTTTTTTGGTAGGAATTAGGTTCTTGAAGTAGGTATTCAAGCCTATTGGCACGGTGCCATGGTTTCCATTTTTTTTTTTGAGTTTTCGAGAAGTATTTTTTTAAAAAAATATAGAATTTTTTTAGTCAAAAAAATAACTTCCAGACAAAGTGTTGGTCGGAGAATCCGAACGATCGGAATTCGATGAAGGAGCTCGCCAAATCGTTGGAACGGATAACTGGGACGGCGCGGCCGAATTTCAATGCGATCTCGATGGCCTGGCTTGCTGAGGTACTCGTTTTTGGAAAGGGTTACGAAGAAAGCTCAAAAAATGACCGTTTTTATCGGTTTTACCTCAATTTTTGGGTTAGGGAAGGCGAAAATGGCATGAAAATAGTTCGGGACCTTTTTGTTCGTTTTTTGCCGGAAGTATGTGTGAAAAAGTCTTATTTTCGTTAGATTTAAACATAATTTTGGATGCAAGAAGATCCAAAAAATACTAATTTTTCACTGAGACTTTAATAAAGTTATGGGACAAAGAAGAAGCTCAAAAGTTGATAATGAACAGTACTATTGTTCTTGGGTCTAAGCCTAACTTTTGACTAGAACATGTAGCTCAGAAAATGCTTTGAAAACTGTGAAAACCTACAAAACAAATTTGAAGCTGACCGGCGCGGCCGGGGCAGCCAAATCGACCAAACGAGGTGTTCGCAAATCCAAGGTTCCAAAGGGATTGTCCAACAACAATGAATGAACCCGGCCCTTCTTCCTCTTGCTCTCTCCCATTTTTTCTTTCTTGGCTAGAGAATGAAGCGATTTTTCAGGGGAAGGGGCCTTGCTGGCTTGGAATTTGAAAGGTTTGAAAAATTAGGTTACTTCACTAGGATGGATTGGTTTGGTATATGAATCGGACCTAAGAAGAGTTTATATTTTCACGTTTAGTGGCCACTTGAGTAACTTAAGTTCAGTGGCCTCTTCAGGACTCTATGTGGTATCTTAGCCCACTACAATGGTTCTGTTGGTTTCACTAAAAACTACTGCCTGAGGCGCAAAATAGAGACCTTAGTGTCCTCTCCAAGTAGTCCTTGAGGAGCCTCTCAAGTGGCCACTAGAGTTCTTTCCCAGACTTTTTTTCTTGTTTTATTCTTTCGATTCTCCCCCATTTTTTGAAAAAATTAACTGATTCCGTTTTTCTTTCTATGCCCTCCTCATCTCTCGAAGACCCTCTCATGTTGTCGTGATATTTTCGGGTTTTTCTGACCTCGCCGGTGAGGGAACAGAGAGACGCAGACACTCGAAAAGTTTCGAGTCGGGTCGGACGGACTATAGAACCATTGGTTAAAAAAAGTAATAACCGTTGTCCTAAAAATCAGAAGTTGAAAAAAGGTTTTCAGAGCTTCTCATGACAAATTTTTCATTTTTTTTCTTGTTTTTGAAATGTATTTTGGTAGGTCTTTTAGTGAGTTTTCTATATTGCAAAGATAAAAGCTCTATAAAAAGTTTTTTACCTTGAAAAATTTCGAGAGGGAACTTTCTAGAAAGATATATTAGATTTGAATACAGTGCTTCTCCTTTTACGCCTTTGTACCCCTTGAGCGCCAAGTCGATAAGGCAAGGCCCTATCCTGATATCAGTGATGACCAGTGGACAGGCTGGAAGCCGTGGTTTCCTACTACGAAATTTTCTCGGTTAAGGGGGGATCGAACTTGGAGCCCATTGGACCTTAGACAGGCACACAACCAGTTGCACCACGGCACGCCCCTTTCCAGAAACGTTTATCAATCAAAATCAAAATGTTTTATTTCTCACACACAAGTACTAAATTTCACGAAATAGATGTAGGGAGAATTTGGGAACATATGTGTCGGAACTTGTGGTGATGGAGGGAAGAGGACTCGCGGTCGTGTTAACCCCCCACTTGAGTAAATTGGAATAACCATGAAGTTATTCTTTTAGATGTCGATTATGTATCTTTCATATTTTTGTTGGATCAAGAGTGTTTAGTTCTGTAATGTTGTTTTCAAACCATTTCTCAAGTTTAGATCTGAACTTATTTTTCTCATACTCAAATACTATGTTTCTATCCATGTGATTCCAATGATTGTAAACTCTTTGATTGATGAACCGGTAGTGTATGTCAGAAAGTAGAGGCCGCTCTATTTTGAGACCATTTCCTCGCAGTTGATTCGATCTACTTGTTGTTTTTGTAAAGGGAAAGTAGAAATGGAAGTCTTTATTACAATGTTCAACAATATAAACAACGTAAGAGATAATTCAAGTTCAATATCCTGCTCTTGCTAATGCTTCACGGCCTCGTTGGAACAGACCTTTTTGAGCTGGCTTCCTTTTCTGGTCCGGCGGTGGCAAAGGTTTCAAGGCGATTCTGGTCGAGCCCAATCCGGAAGACTCTTGAGCTCTGAAACAAGTGTTTCTTCTTTCCAAAAGGCTTTTTTTTTAAAATTAAACTGGACCCGGGCAAAGTCGGAATGGTGGATAATGGCCGTTATAAGGGAGAGGCTCAAAAAAGGCCCCAAAAACGTCCTTTTAGGGACTTCAATTTTTCTGTCAGCCAATGTGAAGATAGTGGTGGAAAAAGTGAGAAAAAAAAGCTGACTGAATGGCGCGTAAGAAGTAGCTTTTTCAACATTTAGAAAAAGTCTGGGTCTTTAGATGCTCTTTCCGACTTTGCCTAGAAATCTTTGAATAACTTCCAACTTACGACATCAATTCCATGTTCTTGAGCGCTTCGATTTGAGCTCCACTGTGTCGGAGATTCGAGAGCTCCCTGATCATTCTTTCGACTTCTTGCTGAGACTTTGGCTGCTTCGTTCCAACTTTCACACTATCATTGAGCAGTGCCACCTGAAACTTTCTTTTCTGAAGGGAGGTTTTTTTTCCTTTTTTCGTACATTACTTTTGCAGTGAGGTCGCGAGAAATTATTCATGGCGGTAAAAAACTTCGAAAAAAAGCCGGGAATTTGAATTTACAATTCTCACCTCACTGTCGTGCTTGGCGATCTCATCTCGCAACTTTTTCAAAAGAGTCTTATCCCCGCTGATTTTGGACTTGTTCTCCTCCATCTCGATCTCGTGCGCCAGCGATTGTCGGTACGAGTCGTTGTGCATGATCATGCAGTTGCCCTTGAGGAACGAGGCGAAATCGACGGCGTATTCGCCCATCTTTCTCACCTCGGCATCCATTTCGGACAGCTGAAACGTCCCCAATAAGACTTCCTTAGCTATGGAGCGGATTTTCACAATTTTTCGAGCCGTTTCTTTTTTTTTTTTTTCAAAGCATACATGCGATGAGCATGAACGGCGACGGCCAAGTTTGTACCCCTTTTGTCTACTTTCAACTATAAAAAGTCGAATTTTGTTGCAGTTTAAGCTGCTAACGCTCCCATGAGACTTTCTTAGCTGTGGAGCGCATTTTCACAATTTTTTGAGCCGTTTCTTCTCATTCCATTTTCTCATGCATTCATACGATGAGCATGAATGGCGACAGCCAATTTCACACTTGGAGCCGACAGCACCCCCGCCCAAGTTGCACTGAGTTGTTATCCACTCAATATGTCCATTTCAAACCTTCGTCTTCTGCTTATTGATGAAGAAGTTGCACGTTTCTTGCGTCTTTCCCTTGTCAGCGATCATTTTATTCACTTCCGGATCCTCCTCCGTCTTCATCACGTATGTAATCTTGTACCTGCAAGTGGAGTAGGATTTCATACAAGTAAAAACGTGAGAAATATTTTTCGCGATTTGGAAAATACACGAATTCACATAATTATTGGATCAAAATGAAAAATTAACTTTTTTTCAACCGAAAGTTCGGAAAAAGCTGGTAATAATCAACAATGCGGCTTTTTAGCTCAATATCTTCCGATCATGTAAGAATCGATCGTTTTCTAAAAGATTGATTTTATGAGAAAAAATGGATTCCCATGAAAAGTGGATTAACTTCAAAAAAAAAACTTTCATTAAAAAAATCGCTCTGTTTTGGAAAAAGCTCTACATGATTTTCCTACACTCCAAACGCCGGGAAGCCGCACGGAATGGCCCAATTTGCTTGGGAATCAGACTCTCGGTTGCGCCGGACATTCCCTGACTTTTCCTTTTGTTTTGAAGTGTGTCATCGCGCGTAGGCTGCTTCCGGTCGGACGCAACAATGGTATATACCTACCGTATGTGCATGTGCTTCTCCCAGCCGCAGCCGCAATTTTGACAATATGCCGTCGAGTTCATCGCCGCGCAGTTTCTCAAAATCCCGTTGGGGCACGTGTCGACCTGAATTATTTTGGCCGTTTCGAATCGTTCCGGCTCGGAATTTCAACCTGAACGCCGCTGAGGAAACACCCGTTGTGGCAGATGGTGTCGTAGACGGTGTTTTTCTGGTCGGTTCCAGGAACGTCGACGTAACTCACGCATTTTGTGCAAACCGTGTTGGGTCTGTTTAGTTGCTCGACCTTGATTTCAGGCAGGTTGACGTTGAGATCCACTGAATTTTGAGCTTTAATGGTCTTGTTTGTATCAGAGCGTCGCTCTAACACTTTTCAGTGCCACCGAGCGCAAGTCGTTTCCAGTCGGGCTTAATCCCCTTACAGCCATTGGATTATGGGCTTTATAGGTTATGAAGGATTCGCGCTGGGAATGACTCGAAAATCTAGCGACTGCTTTGAAAAAATCTCTGATTTTTCACACTGAGCCGCACCGCGACCGCCGCGCACTCATATATTTAAAACTCGACCAGATTTTCTCAGAATTCGGTATTTAATCATTTCAGTTGTCTATGACTTTTCAATAAAACGAACATTTCAACATATCCTCCTGAGTCTTGCAGTTTTCCACCTCCTGGATTTTCTTTTCGATAAGGGCCGAGTTTGAGATTTGAAGCTTCATGATCTCGACCAAGGGACGGGAAAGACAGATCGTGGCGGTTCTGAATAGTTTTCACTTGATTTTCTTCTTGAGTTAGTCTGTTAACCTGGTGTTGTTGAGACATAAGGTTTCGCTCATCTTGTGCACTTTGGTTTTGGCGACTCTCTCAAAAAGTCGCTTCGTCTCGCTGAAGGCCTTGTCCCAACTCTCGCTGTTCTCCGTCTCTTCTCTCTCGGTCATGGGAAGACCGCGGCTCTTGGCGCACAAGTAACGGAAGCACTCGTTGTCGTAGCAGAAGTAGTTTTGCTCCAAGGGGATGTGCACGTCCCGGGTGTCCAAGCTCTTCAAATGGGTCCTCAGTGCACCCAGTGACTCGCCTGGCTCGTAGTGTGAAGCTCTGAAAATCTGTCATATAAAGTCAATCTCTTCCGGCGTGAAAGCGATAAACGCAAGTTTTTTCTAGTGCCTTTCGCGATCTTTTTGAACCGTTCTCTAGTTGATTCGAGAAGGCTGACAGTACCAAATGTGACTCAGCTGTTCAATTTCGTCCACTGAGAAGTCAGAAACTCACCGAGTGTTGGTGAAACAAAAGAAGATGTTCTTTGCAGCATCCTTGTGGAGGTGGACCAACAATTCGTCGACGCAGAACTTGAAGGTGAGGTCCAACCTCGCCTGGTTGGGCTTCATCAGGATCAGAATGGCGTGCAGCTCATCGATGCAACTCAAAAACTGCATGATTTTGTTGAAGTTCTTGCGGTCCTGTTCGATGCCGCGGGTGTCGCCGATACCAGGCGTGTCGATGATTCTGAGTTCCTTTTTCGATTTGAAGTTATGCCGTCAGTAATTACCGGATTTCTTTTTTTGTCCCGTTCTGGTCGTACTCGAAGATGTAGTCCTTGGGCTCCTGGGTCGCAGATTCGCCCGAACTCATCAGGTTCTCATTCGAACGATTTTGACCATTCGGGTCTGTGGTTGTCGGCAGAACGTGGACCGTCGTTTTCGTCCTCTGAAAAAAAGAAATATGTAGCAAGTTTTTGGGTTTATCAAGATTAACAATACTGGAAATTATCTCAATGGAAGCTTGGGACTCTCTCTATTTCAACCCCGGGTCATAGTCTACTCGTTAGGGTGGACTAATTCCCGTTACTGGTTATCCTTCTGCTCTCTTATTCTCAACTATTTTAACTCTTATTTTCTAACAGTATGCAGTGAATAAACCTATTATTATTATTATTAACCCTATTTCAACTCAGCACTCGCACAAGCCTGGCTGTGAAGTAGAATTACTTGATTCCGCATAAAAATGAGATAATAACTATATTGAAGAACTTCTAAGCTTCAGCCTAACCCAACTATTCGCCTAAGGGCGTTGCCATATCGAAAATGAAGCGCGAAAACCCGATTTCCCTGAAAACTCGATCAAAAAACGAACATTTTGATCGTAATGCGTGAAGCTGCTCTCGATAAGGACGTGATGGCCGCCTGTTGCGTCGGCGGCTTGGGACAGCGTTTGGAAGTTCAGATAGTTGATTAAACCGTTGATCATCGTCGATTTACCGACACCAGTTTCTCCCAAAACCAAAACATTCGTCGTTTTTTGCAGCCTGAAATTTTAGAGCGTTAGTAGTTGGTAGCCTCCACTAATACACCACAACTACAGTACTCCCTCTAATACAGTATCGCTGGTAAAAATTAGCTTGGAGTACTGTAGTTGCGGTATCTGGGGGGCTATACACTGTTAGCGTTCCAGAAGTTAGATAAATGCATTAATCAATGTACCCCGTCAGAAAAGATACGAAAAAAAAATGTTTTGCTCACAACTTCCGTTCAATCTTTATGAAGCTCTCAGAAGCTGCGTTTTTTTTCTGCTAACTGGAATTCCATTAGAGTTTCACAAATAACAGTCATCACAACTCCAGAAAGATCTAACTCCATACAACAAAGTTGTGATTAATAATGTTTTTTTTTTCGTACTCTTCTTGTGGCCAAAACTTTTGACTCACTGTCCGAAGAATTTCGGTAGCTCCCATTTTGGTAAGGATCTCCCAGACTCTCTGTTGTCGCTCTGAAAACATTCCAAATATCCTCAAGACAAATTCTGATCAAAGTTATCATTCACTAAATTTAACATGGCCTGAACCAACCCTATCGTAGAAGTCGCGTTCCCAAGAATTGAAGACCATTCTCAAACGCTCGTTCCCGAGGCTGTCGATTGCAATTCTCAGTTTTTGGATTTTGACGTCGACCTCGTCATTGGGGTCGGCCAGGATCCGCACCAGTCTCTCTTGCTCTTTCGAATCGATTACCAATTTCAAAAATGGATATTCATCCGAGTTCTGAACCTTTTTGATTGGAATCGAAGCGTTTGAGTTGAACAAATAGGTGATACGACTTTTTCCGTTTCCAAGGAGTACTGTATGTGAAGGTCCGCATTCTTAGACATTGGGTGTTTGCAGTTTGTGAGTGGCCCATCTCCCAGTTTTACTGAATTATTTTTTTTTATTCGAAATCGTTCTCGTTTCTGTTTAGTTTTCGAAAAATAAAGTTAACAATGAATCCCCCCAAGTGCAAACACAAAAATGCGAACGCCTTAGGATGCGGACTTTCACATACAGACTTCTTCAGGAGAAGCTTGCTCTCGTCGTAACACTGAAAACTCACCACTAGCTCCCAAAGCTGGTATTCGAACTTGACATGCTCGCTCTCATTGGAAATGGCAAGCTTCAAGCATTCCTGAAGGACCTCCTTCGTCAAATCCTGATTTTCGAGCAAGTCGATCAGCTTTTTCTTCGTGTCCGCCGTTGAAAGCATCACGAATTGTGGCCAGGTCTCCGGACGTTTCCAACCGGGGAACTTCTGTAGAAAATTGGACTTTTCTGGTCAAAGCAAGGATTTGGTTGAGTTGGGATTTTTTCGGCCCAAGCAAGTAAATGATTAATAATTGGATTTTTTCTGGTCCAAGCAAAAATTTGGTAGGTAGTTAGATTTTTTTGGCCCAAGCAAGAATTTGGTAGATAGTTGGACTTTTTTGGCCCAAACAACTAATTGATTGATAATTGAATTTTTTCTGGTCCAAGCAAGGATTCGATAGATAGTTGGGATTTTTTCGGCCCAAACAATGAATTGATTTATAGTTGAACTTTTTCTGGTCCGAGCAAGAATTTGGTAGATAACTGATATTTTTTGGCCTAAACAAATTATTGTCTAATAATCGAAGGTCCAAGCAAGAATTTGATTGATAGTTGGGATTTTTTGGCCCAAGCAAGTAATTGATTGATGATGGAATCATTCTTTTCCAAGCAAAAATTTGGTAGATAGTTGGACTTTTTTTGGCCCAAACAACTAATTTATTGATAATCGGAAATCTTTGCTCGGACCTTTTCTGGTCCAAGCAAAGAAATCATTAATGATCGACTTGTACATAAATTTTCAATGCATACCTTCTCCATCCAGTCATAGAACAATTCGAGAGTTGCCTTGTCGGCTTTCGACAAATTATTTTCGAGGAAAATCATGATCTCTTTGCTGGTTTTGCCTTTGAAGTAGGGCCGAAGTTGCGCCGGCAGATCTTTGAAAAGTTCCGAATTCTGAAGTGTGTTTTTTTTATAAATAGAAACGACGTTCTTTTTTTTTTGTTTTCTGATCAGTAAAGGCGCGTTTTGTAGACAGCCTCTTTCGTGCAATTATAAAATTTCGATCACTCATAAAACTTGTGCAAAGTCCGATAATGGCCGCTAAAAGGGAGAGGCTCAGAAAAGGGGGCAGAAAGAGTCCCTTTTCCGAGCCTTTCTTCTGGGAAGGCTCAAGAAATGGTGCATAAGAGCCGATGAAATGGCTCAAAAAGGCAGCGAAAAGGGAGCCTTCATCATCCTAAAAGGAACATTATCTATGAAGCCTTTTTCCACCGTTTCCGACTTTGCCTATGAGTAAATTTTGAAGTTTACTAGTAGGAAAATATTCCGATTTGTCGCTTTAATTCAGCTATTTCACTCACCAACAGATCTCCACTTGGCTGAGAAGATCTCGAAGTCGACTAAAACAATTGGTTTTATTATTTTTTTTTCGATGTTATTTCTTCGAACCGAGTTTTTCCATCGGTTGAAAGCCCTTTGACATTCGCTGCTCGTTGATCCGTTCACCAGCGCCTCCATTTGAGAGATTCTCATTGCAGACGTCGTGTTATAGATAATTATCAAAGCTCTTCTGCTAGCCCCCGCCAACTCGATGAACTCTGGATATGTTCCCTGAAATTCAACGAATATTCAGAAATTCAGAAAGAAGCAGATACCTCCCGTCGAGTCATCTTTGTTGATTCGGTTTGAGAGATTAGAAAACGCCTAAAGAAAAGTGTGTAATATTGATGAGAAGAGGCCATAAAAACGACGGAGAAAACAGTTTTCTTCCGTTTTTGCGACGTCAAGAGGTGGATGGCATTTGAGAGAGAATGTACTGATAAGCTATCTTAAAGTCTTAAAAGCGGAGAAGGTTTCGAAAGGCAGGTGCAAAATCATTTTTAAGATGTAAGAAGCACGTAGAGTAGGCCCTGTGGGGTCAGGGGGGAAACCTCTATAGGGGTCGAAAAAGTGGTCTCTATAGGAATAAAATAAATGTGGTCCCTATAGGGGTTTAGGGTCTCACCCTTTAGCTCCTATAGCCCCTATAGTGGACCCTATAAAGATAAAATTCAGGTGGTCCCTATAGGGGTTTAGGGTCTCACCCCTTAGCTCCTATAGTGGACCTTATAGGGATCTTTCGATTTCATTCAAAAAACGTTCGTTTATTCAGTGTTTCCCATGGAAAAGCATTTTCGCTTAGAGTTCAATAATCGACTAGCATGTCCCCTATAGGGACCACTAACTAAAGACCATATAGGGACCACTTTCGCAAGCCTTAGTGGCCCCTATAAGGATTGGTAAAGTGTTCCCTAGATGTGACCCTCCAAAAGCCCTAAGGTTGCCCCTGTAGGGACTACTGTGGAGTTCTTAAGTAAAATTTGATAAATCTAAGACACTAATTTTTCTAGTTTACTTTTTTTAATAGAAAAATTTGAAAAAATCCATAGATTCCGGTTCAAAAAAATTAACGAGAATGTTTAGAGTTGATAATTGATTTGAAATGACTTTAAAGATAGCCACATTTTTTTGAGATTTGAGGATGCCACCGCGCGCAAGTCGTTTTTTTGGTCGGACGCGCTAAGAATTTAATTTATGGCCGCGACGCGTTCAGAAGATCTTAGAAGTTTGCAGAATTAATCTAAATAGGCAATGTGTAAACAAAAAAATTATCTATGAAACGAAAAAAATAAAGTAAAAACATTTGTAAGGAAAATCAAAGTAAGAAAAACTGAGTGTTTTTTTTTCAGAAAACTGAGAGCATCTTGAAGTTTTCGGGGCGTTTCATATTGAAGCAACCCTTTCATAGTCGTTTGAGAAGTCGCTAATATCAACAACGAATGATAATACCTTGTAAGTGTGAGCAATGATATAAGGATCGAATCAAGATTTTTTTTTTCTTTTGATTTCGATCAAAGTTCAGTTTTTGCGTCTAGTTTGATGTCAAGTTGATGAAATTTCTCAGAAAGAGTATGGACCGGAAAAAGTGTTTTGAAATGAATATTTTTATAAAAATATATTGAAGGAGATTTCTGTGAAGTAATTCAAAAAGGGTTTCAGCTATAGGAAAAATAATTGTTTTTTTCAATTTTAAGTTTATTATTATTCCAACTTAAACGTATAGCTCTTATTCCGATTTTTTTTTCATCAGAATATGATAAAAAAAGCTGTCCAAATTCGCTCTAATGATTATTTTGATTTTTTTATTTTTTTGAAAAAGCTATCATTTTTTTGAGCCCAAAAATTCTTCATTTTTTTATTTTCAAAGCATTCTCAGGCTTCTTTTCAGATACATTTCGCAATAGGCCATTATTAAAAATTTTTTTTGTTGTTTCAAAAGGTCATAAAACTTATATTCAAAAGGACACTAGATTTCGAATTTCGAATGTAGTTTAAGTCTTCATAAAACTGGATTCATATTTTTCGGACTTTGAAGCTTTCTCAAGGAAAGCATTCATTGCTCATACTTACAAGCTCGCAAAAAATGTCAATTCTGAAAAAAAGTTATGAAACAAACAAGATTGGATGGGAATCGGAACACAGAAAGGAGACTGCGAAAAGAACGCAGGGAGAGAAATTTTTATCAGCTGCCTTGCTCATACTATTCCTCTAAGCGTGATTCTTGCCGTCGCTCTCTTCTCTTTTACTCACACCTTTTGGAAAGAGTGTAGTTTGGTGGGGTGTCGAGAGAAATTCTCAATGAAACTTTCGAAAAAAAAGGTCGTATTAGTTTTGAAAAGTTGCTATACTTTGCAATCGAACTGGGGATTTTTTCAAAATCCTTTTGATGAAATTTAGTTACCTTAGACCGACTTTCTAATTACAACAAAAAATTATTGATTTTCATAAATAAGCTATCACTCTTCAAAACATTAAAAAAATCCCTTTTTTCTGATTTTTGTGGTTTTGGAACATTGAAACATCATAACTTGCCTATGCGGGTCCATCTAGGCAAATTATTTAAAACTGAAGTTCTATAGAGGTCATCAAGCTTTTTAATGGATATATGGTCGCTAATCAGACTTTACTTGTAACTAGAAGCTTCCTATGCGAAAATTAGTCATTATTCGAAGTTTTATAACAGTGACAACACCTTTTGGTCCATATGAAAGCAAGAGCAAAACAAAATAGCTCGGACTTTCTTAAGCGATCCCTAAAGCGTCCAGTTACCAATACCGAGAGTGACTGAGAAAACATGACCAAGTGCGCCCCAATGCAAAATTACGGTAAAGCGAACCCTGATCCTGACCTACTCTGAACTGGAGCGTCTTAAAGCGTGTTTAAGGCACTCCGGTTCAGAGTAAGTTCAGAGTGTCGCCTTAAGGCACTCCGGTTCAGAGTAAGTTCAGAGTGTCAAGTTCGTCTTGGCACACGGCGTTTTTTAGCGACGGCCTGCCCATATTTTTTTCCGTGAAGTGTAGTGTGTCGTGTGCATACACTGCGGCGCTCTGGCACACGCCGCGTTCAACGTAATTTTCGCGAAGTTCAAAATCATATCTGAATTTCTAAAATTCAGTCATATTTTTCACTCTCTGGTGGCTATTTTGAATTTCACGGAATTACTATAAACACGGTATGTGTTTTAAAACGAAAAAAAAAACAGAAAAAAACGCGTTTTTTAATGAGAAGTAGATTCGTCTCATGACCCATTGAATGCGCCTTTAATATTTCCAGTTATTTACGCGTTTCCCCCATGACGTCACATGGGAACGGCGAAAGTTTTGACCACGCCCCTTTCTTTTTTGGTTTCGCTTTTTTTTCCACTCAAAAAATGCAGTGGGCAAAAGTCGAAATTTTTTTTTGTTCTGTTCAATTTTTTAATCGTGTAAAAAACTTGAAACATGGCATAACCTTTTCTTCGACTTCAAATACTCAAAAAGGTCAGAGCGCGCCGTAGCGCAACAGGTTGTGTGCCTGTCTACGGTCCACAGAGTCACAAGTTCGATCCCTGCCTCGACCCAACCGCGGGGTTTATAAAATGTTGGTAGTGGGAAACCGCGGCTTCGTAATTCCCAGCCATCACACACAAAGACGGCATTGTCCCTGGAGCTAGTCCACTGATAAAGAAATATCAGGATAGGACCTCGGCTAATCGACTTGGGGCTCTGTCGCCGCTCAAGCGGTACAAAGGCGTAGGAAGAAGAAGAAATACGCAAAGAGGTCGCCACCTCAGAAAATACAATAAAAAATGGTGCATCGAATGGTACTGAAATGTTTATACAGATCTTCAACAGTTGGCAAGTGATACGAGAATGTTTCAGGGGGGATTTGAATAAATAGATGATTACACTTATATTTATTTCTTGTCGCAATTACGATCAGCGTCAAGGATTAATCCCGAAGACGTCTCTTTTCGGGTGTGGCGGAATCGGCGGCTTCCTACTGACGACGATTCTTCCGCCTCGGAAAGTCGGGGCCGAGGTTGGACTGCAAAAAAATATTGGACTATCTTTTTGTCAAAATCAACGAAAACCTGAGCACAATCGGGTTCTGAAGGCCGTACTCCTGTCTGATTTCAGACATGGATTTATTCGCCGACTGTCTTCCTTTCCCATCAAGTTTTTTAATCAAATCTACCTGTAATTTTGTTCATACTGTTGAAGATCCTCATTCAGAATTGACTTACGAACAATTTCATTATGAAAATGGAAGTAAAAGCTTTGAGAAAACTCGATTTCTTCCAATTTCAGGTGTCCAAAAAAGGCATTTTTTTAAAATACATCGATGTAATGTTACTTTTTTGTGCCCTATTATCGAATAAAAGAAAAAAAATCTTGCATATACAACTTTTTTGTCAAAAAAACGAAAAAAAAAAACCAAAGTTTTCTATCTACTAGAAGGCACGGCTGTAATTTCAATGAGACACTAGAAGTCACTAAAGTGATCGCTAGAAGGTCGGTAAGTCCTACTCAGTCAAAAATGAAATACAGTACCTGGGCGTTATACTGTTGCTTTCTCTGCTGGACCCGTTTCACGTACTCGGGTCTTTTCTTGTCGGTTTCTTTCTCGTTCTCCTGCTTGATTTCCAAGTCCAAATATTCTCCGTACGAGTCATTGTAGGGAATTATGCAGTCCTGGACGAATTCTTCGACTTTTCCACTTGCTACTCGCATTATTTCGCTCCTTTGTTCATCGAAAACAACGAGCTGCAAGGGAAATGAGTTGGAAGTGTTATTTCAAAGCTTCAAACAAAGGATATTCTTCTTAAAATGATATTTCAAGTGTTTAAAGGCGCAGAGGTCTTTCACGGCTTGAAAAAAAGCTTTTCTCTTCGAGACCTTCGTGACATTTATCCATTTTTCTCTCAAAAAAAACCCCCAGCAAAGATATTTTAAAACAACTTTAAGGCCTAAGGGTAGTGAAAAAAAGCCCAAAATGACGTTTCAACGCACTTTTTCCATAGAAAACATTCAATCGCATAATTTTGGCACGAAATATCGATATAAAAAAACCTCTACAAGATAATATTTTTCAAAGTTCATTTCTGAAGGATAGCTATGCGCCTTTAAAAATTAATTCATTTGGGAAATATCGACAGTTTTCGCCTCTCATTCTTGTCGCACTTCTAAATAGTTAGTTGCTGATTTTTAAAATTATTAAAAATGCTCTGAACACCTTCAAAAAAAAAATTAAAAGTTGACTCGAACCTCGTCCCGAAGATTCTTGATGAACAGTTGAGCGGCATTCTTCGAGTTTCCCTCCCTTTGCAACATTTCCTCGACGCCTTTATCGACAATTTTCTCTGTTTTCTCGACATATGTATGCCTGAAATCAGGGCGAAATCTCAGTTAAGTGCCTCTGGAAATGGCTCAAGAAAACCCGAGAACTGCGCCCGACCTTGAGCGACTTGCGAAAAAAAAACCTACATTACATGCATATGAGTATTCCATTGACAGCCGCAAACCATGCATGTCAAATTCCGGTTGAAAATGTCGCATTTTTGGAGCGCCGCACAGAAATTCACGTTTATCTGAAATCATTGGAGTCGAGATAGAGGAAATAGTACATCAAAACAGGAGAGTCACCAAGCCATACAGCTTTTGAGCAAGCGAAAAAAGAAAAAAACTAAAATTCTCATATTCCATCCATCTTGAAAAATTCTGACCTGTCTGCGTCTCCTTTTCACTCAATAGAAAAATGAAAAATATCACGTAAGAATGAGAGGAACAGAGAACACTGACTGAAGCTTTTTTGAAACGATTTCTGGATTTTTTCTCAAGTCACGTTCTCACGTAGAATGGATCCAACTAGAAAAAATAGATCTGCGTTTTTATTTTTTGAAACGCGTCCGACCAGAAACGACTTTCGCACGATTTTATAAAAAAGCGCAAATTTGAACTGCTAAATGCCATTTCAGAGCTCTAAAGGCGATGATTATGTCATTCAAGACGAATAATGAAAATAATTACTTAGCAATAATATGGATAAATACCAAGTGACCCTTTGAGTGTCTTGAAAAACGAAAAAAGCTTCTAAAAATAGTAGAAATACTACTTCTAAATGACTTATTCATGGATCTTATATTGCTTTACTGGAACCTGACTGTTCCTAGCACCTTTTTATCTCCTAAAAGGTCACTAAAACAACTTGGAAGGTCTCTTGAAGGCGTTTTTTTTCCGTACTAACCGCAACACCGGGCGCAGGACAATCGGGTCGGCAAATTCGCTTCGGGACCCTGGTCAGGGTCTTGTCGCCCGGCCTGGCTCTTTTCCCGTCGACACAGCAGTCGGCCATGCAAACCGTTTGAGGTTGGGCCAGGTCGACACGTTCCAGGACTGTCGTCTCCACGTAGAGTTTCACTGAAATCCAAGAAAATCTAGAAGGAAAAGAAGCAATTTTGTCCAAATCAAGGTCAAACTTGGCCAGTCCAATTTTGAAGTCCTTTTCTCCTCTAGTGGTCACTTAAGACGATACTTGGAGAGGGCACTAAATTGGTCACTATAACTTCCTCTATAGAAGCTGATGTATTGCGTCAGAGGCCCCTTAGTAGTCTCAGTGCTCTTGTGATACCAATTAGCCACTCAAGTGGTCACTAATTCGACTACTACAGTGGCCACTAAAACTTCAAAGCCCTAAAGTGGCCACCAAAGATTTTATCAAGCGCTAGTGCGCTCCATGAACAAGACCAGTTGAAACCAAGCGTTTTTCTTCAAAAAACAATTACTATTGGACTGATTCGGGTTCTTCTCGGCCTCTTCGACTTCCTTGACTTTATCCGCGATGACAGATTTCTGAGTCGCTTCCCTCTCTGCGATATCTGCCAAGGGGCTGGTCAGGAGCAGAATTTCGGATCTGAAAACTGGGTTATTCTCGAAAAATCCAGTTCATTTCAAGTTATTATTATACGGATTTCGCGGCTATTTTTCGTGTAATCGAGGATAAAAATTTCCACTGTCTCTGGTTATCATTAGAGCGCAAATTCAGTCAATATTCTTGGCTATTTTCGTCGTAATTTTTCTGTAATCACTCAAGGAAAAGAACGTTTTAAGAAAAATTTTATAATTTTTTTTTTTCTGATTTTTCTTTAATCTTTCGAAAATTTCCCCAATTCGATTCTCCGTAGAGCACAGTTTCGGTAGTTTTTGTAGATATTTTCGCTCATTTTTCGAAAAAGTAAATCTTTGAAATAAGTCTTGGACTCATTTAGAGATAACTTGAGAGTTATAGCGCCGCTAAAGGGGTCCCTGAATGGCTCAGAAAAGTCTGATTAGAATTAACAGTGACCCATAAAAAGTTAATCATCAGTAGGGCGCATTTTGGCGCGATACTTACAGCAAACGTTCTAGGACCTCGGTAACTCAAACCGGACGTTTCTAAGCATTTCTAGGGATCACTTAAGGTTGAAGCTACTGAAGTGGTCACTAGGAATGCCCCGGCACGTCACCAAGGTCCGAGTTGTCATTTCTTTCCAAAAAAGGTAAACTTTAGAAAATTAGACTTGGAAAAAGTTCGAAATAAAACGTGAAAGTTTTCCGAAAACTATTCAAAGTTTGAAAATTCCTAAGAACCGCCCGGCTTTCCTAGGATGCCCATTCCAAACCTGATATTATTCAAGGCCAAGGTCCGTTCCACTTCGTGAGGCTGCGTCTTGGAAATGCGGAGGAAGAGCTGCTTGGCCTGCTCCGAGGACTGCTCCCAGCTGTCGGCAAAGTCATCTCGCTCCTTTTGGTTGTAGTTCTGGCCGCTGGCGAGGCTTCCCAGGTAGCGGAAACTTTCGTTATCGAAGCAGAAAAATTGATCGTTGTCCAGGTTGAACAACATTTTCCGGTCGCCATTTTCGAGGTGAGTCTGGAGGCATGGGAGTGTTTCGCCGGGTGAGAAACCGGAAGATCTGCAAATTTTCGTGGTGGGAACTGCATGGAATGAATCATTCAAACAAGGAGCTTGCAGAGGGCGGGGGGGGTATAATACTTTACAAGGAAAATCTTTAAAGAATAGTACATTTTTGGCGACTTGGAGGGGCTTTTCTGCGCTCTCCTTGTCTCTTGTGACCCTCTCATATTGACGTGCTATTTTCACGTTTCTCTAGCCTCGCCGGTGAGGGACAAAGAGACGCAGACAGTCTGAAACTGCGGAAGGACTACACCGCAACTTGGGGCTCAATTTTCAATAGGAACTTTTTTATGATCTTCTTTAACTTTAAAGTGTCCCGAAAAATAGAAGTTAATGCAGGGGAAAACTTTCAGAATCTTACATCAAGAAGTAATCTGGCCAAAAATTCAATAATTCCCGACCGCAAAGTGAAATGAACTTCTGTGAGAACACTTTAGGAACTACAAGGCACGATTCTGCTCTAAAAAAAGCACGTCTCCCCAGTTTCCCAGAGAAATCCCATCCCAAAAGAAGAACCTGGCATTGGTGAAGCAGAAGAAGATGTTCTTGGCGGCGTCCTTGTGGAGATGGACCAGCAACTCGTCGAGACAGAACTTGAACTTGAGGGTCAGACGGGCCTGATTGGGCCTCAAGAGGACCATGATCGCGTCGAGACGGTCGATTCCCGTCAGGAACTCCAGAATTTTCTCCACATTCATCGTGTCTTGTTCAGGTCCGCGGGTGTCCACCATTCCAGGCGTGTCGATGATCCTTCAAAAGTCAATTTCAAAAAAAGTTTAAAAGGCCAGGGAATTAAAGAAAGAAGAGAAAACCTGAAGAAAGGCAGCGAGAACTTCATTTTGACGAACCTTCCATTTTTCTTAGGTTTGAGAAGGCTCAAAAAAGGTAGAAAAAGGCCTCTGATGGGCTAATTTCGACAGAGTTTCGAAAAGCTCAAAAAAAAACAGAAACTTCTTTTCTAGGTTCAAAAAAGGCGCAAAAAGTTGTCTTGAGCTCCTTACTCTTTCCATTTCTAGAGAAAAGACTCTCTTATCGGTTTTTTTTTTCTCCTTTTCTGGATTGTTTCTCTTTTCAATACCTTTTGAGCTTCTTGAAAAGGATCCTTCTGACAAAAAAATCCAGTAAAGTTTCTAGGAAGGTCTTTTAAAAAGCCCTTTTTTTAACTTCCCACTCGCCACGACTTGAGACAATCTGACCTGTCTGCGCTCTCTTTTCCTTCACCTCCAAGGTCAGCGGAATAGTACTTAAATGAGAGGGTGTAGAGAAATCAAACTGTACAAAGCTAAAGGCGAATGAGTGAAAATTCTCAAAAACCATTAGAAAATTTGAAAATTATTTCGTAGTCTGTTCATATTTTGATCGTCAAGTACAATGACGTCATTCGACTCGTTCTCTGATTGGTTTATCGCGTTATTAAGGGCGGGGCCACAAACTATAACAAAACGGAAGAGAGCTTGAATCCAAGAGGCTTTTTGTGAAATTTGGTGTCCTCTAGAAAAATAATTTTGTGATATTTATCCTACAGATACTCATAGTTTCACTATTATCATCTTCGCCCTAATGAAAAAAATTTAATCTCTCAGAAGTTTTGATTTAAAGGAATATGAGCCATTTTGTAGAGCTTTGTCGATACGCTTGAAAGTGCACAAAACTTGCTGGTTTGGAAAATAAATATTTCAAAGTCTCGAGAACAAGGTTTGAATTCCCACGTTTCGCAGTAAAGCTGCTCTATGGACAAAACACATCTTTCCCGGAAATTTCTCTCGGAAAAAAGGAAAGTACCTGATTTGACGCTTGACGTCGGCACAGGAATACTCGAAAAGATAGTCCAACGCTTCCTGGGTACAGGATTCCCCGGTTGCGTGATTTTCGTTCGAATTCGCGCTGCCGTTGGCGACCGTCGCACGGATATGGATTTTTGTCGAAGTTCCCTGGAAAAAAAAATAAGTACAAAGTCCAAGAATGCGCGCCAGAGTGGTCTCCATAGGGATAACGGGGCGAAAAAGTTCTTATAGGGGACAAAAAAGTGCTCCCTATAGGGGGTCAAATTTAGGTAGTCCTATAGGTTTTTAGGGTGTCACCTCTAAGCCTCTGAAGATGATGGTAGGGTCCACTTTTGCGAGCTTCAGTAGCCTCTAGAGGGGGACCTTGGGTCTCTAAGATTGCCCTTCAGTAGCTCCTATAGGGGTAGGTAGAGTGGCCCCTAGAGGGGAACCTTCTGGGGCCTCCTCTAGGGACCACTCTGGCAGTATTTAAAGGGTTTTTTAGCGCCTTTTTTTAGTCGAAATGTTTTTTTGAAGCGAATAAAAGTTTGTTGGAAAGAAGGAGGTACCAGAAAAGAATGAATACAAAACCGATAAAAAGGTTCTTCGCCATAAAAAGAAAATGGGAAAAAGGGGCTAAAAGGGCACTTTTTTGCACCTTTTCAGTAAGGTTAGTGAGACCATATGTCTCTTAAATTTTCAACCTTTGACTTTTATCTATCAAAACTCTATTTAAAAATGAGGTTTACATTTGTTTTAAAGGAAAAATCGCTACAAAATTTGCGTTACTTCTAAACTCGCATAAAAAATCTTTGAAAAGAGACAGTTTGAATAAAATTTACCTTTTTTCATCTCCTCAGCTGAAAATGAAACCAACCTCCTTGACCCGGGTGATGGAAGAATCGATAAGGGCTTGATATCCGCCCTTTTCAGCATCTGCCAAGGAATCATAATGCAAGTAGTTGATCAGGGCGTTCAAGAAGGTCGATTTTCCGATTCCCGACTCGCCAAGGATCAGAATATTCGTCATCGGCGACATTCTGGGATCGAAATATTTTTCAAACAAAAAATTGGATAAACTTTTTGAAAACGTCGAAAAAGGTCGGCTTCTGTGCTTTCAGCCAGGCTTCTTTCTGAAAAATCGAAAAATAGCCGCATTGAATCAATAGCGCTCTACTGATAATTTTGAGCCAAAAAAACAAGAAATAAAATTTTTCGGATAAGAAAAAAATTGCCTCATTCTGTAGAGATATTTTTCAACACAAAATTCAGAGTGAAAGCCGAGAAATTTTCCAAAAAAACACTGAAATTTAAAAAAAAACAGGGACAAGTTTTTAAAATTAAATTATGTCGAGAAAAAATAGCCGCTCAGAAAACAATCTCGCTCCACGGATAATATTTTTGTCGTACAGTGAAATAGAGTCCTAAGATATCAAAGATGAGAAATGGCCGTCGAAAAGGAGTCAAGTCTGCTCCACGGATAATATAGTTGTCTTGAAATGAAATAGAGTCTTAAAATAGCAAAGATGAAAAACGGCCGTTTTGAATAGGTCAAGTTTGCTCTAAGGATAGCTCCAATTTTTCAATTTTTTTTTCGGGTTCAAACAGACCTCGTCGGCGATTTTTGTGCTCCAATCGTTGAAAACGATTCTAGAACTGGGATCCGGCATGACATTCTCCAATTTCTCGATTTTTTCCTCTTCGCTTAGGCTTCCATCCAACATAATTTTTTTGAAAATATTTTTGACGGTCTCATTATTCACCGTCGACATGAAAGGGAATTCGGATTTGACGTTCTGAAAAAATAAATATCGATTTTTTTTTTTGCTTCCAGTAGAATTCCGACAAAAACATCTTAGAGTATAGAGAAACGGAAAGTCGGTTAGAGTCGGGTGCAGCTTCTGCTTGAGTATTTTAATTCCTTTTTAATAAAACGCAACATTTTGATTTATTTCAATGCTTTTTGTTGCTTCCAAGTGAAGCTTGTGAAGGGAAAAAAATTGAAAAAAGGCTTGACATTTTTGAAAAAAGCCAAAATTTTGGAAAAAAACTCTAAAGTGTTGAGAAAAGGCTTCAGAACATTTTTGAACTTTTAAAGTCCTTAAAGTTGAGAAAAGGCCTCAGAAATTTAAAAATTAAGGCTTCAAAAGGTTGAAGGCTTTAAAACATTTTTGAACTCTCAGTCCTGAAATTTGAAAAAAACGGCTTGGAAATTTGAAAAAAGGTCTCAAAAATTCAAGAATTAAGGTTTGAAAAACTTGGTGAATCGCTTGAAAAAAATGAAAAAAAGGCTTTAGAACATTTTTTTGAACTCTTAAAGTTGAAAAAAAGGTTTGTAAAATTCGAAAAAAGGCTTCAAAAATTACCGAACTTTTATGTCTTTCAGAAGTTTTTTTAAAAAAATAGATATTTAACCTAAAAAAATTAAATCTCAATTTTCAAGCTAAAATGAAGGTCAATTTAGTCAAAACGAATTTTTTTCTGGATGATTACAAGTTCCTAGGAGTTTTTTGAAAAAAATGTTTTTTTCTTTTTTTGTCATTTTTTTAAATGTCTAACGCTGATTGACCAGTACTCTGTAAGGAAAAATCTAATATTTATAAAATCCCACTTCGAATTTCCATTCCAGATAACGTTTGACTTCTTCCCGAGGTCGTCCTTTCAGTAGCCTTTCGAATTCCTTCGACTTTTCCTGGTTCGTCAATTTCTTTTGGAAAATCAGACGAAGAGGTTCTGGATTTGAACTTTTTTTGATGAAGTCCGGGGCCCATTTCGATTTATAGTTGGGATCAACCTGAAATTATTTAATAATGGTCAATTTTTGAAAAATCCCTAAAAAGACTAATTTTCGCAGTATGCAACATTTCCTTTCGGCTTCAACCAACTCCGAAAAATTTAGTGGCCACTTTAGGGTTTTGATTTCTCAATGACCACTAAAGTAGTCGAACTAGTGGTCCCTTAAGTGCCTAGAAACTGATGGCCATATTGAAAGCTTATGGGGTATTACCTGCCCACTAAAAACTACTAAAGTGGCCACTTCAGAGTCCTCTCCAAGTGGGACTTCTTGAGTGGCCACTTGAAATTCTCTCAGAGTAATCTGAAAGCTCTATAAACTAGGTTTTTTTTCCAATGAAAATGATATTTTTAACTATTTTTTCTTCTTCAAAAGTTTCTTGCATCTCAATGAAAGTTTTACAAAAAAAAAAAATTTTTTTCTTGGATTTTGACAAATTTTCCATTTTTCGATCTTTTCTCCAAAAAACTTCATCAATTCTTAGTCGTTTTGCAGTGTTATCAGCCTTTCGAAACCACCAAAAATCGATGGATGAGTCCTTGAGAGTGATAAAAGAAGGGAAAATGATAAGATTCAAATGTCACCATTATTTGAGGAAGGAAGGATGAATTCACTCCGGGCCGGGGACAAAAAAAGCTACAGAAATTCTAATTTTTTGCATTCTATTGAAATGATATCTCAAAACAATGCACAAAAGGGATTTTCAATAAAAAGTCTAGACTCAAAAGAAAAAGAATCGGATAAAAACTAAAAAAAAAGTTCGTTAGAACGCACTTGTGGAACTCTTTCATTAAAATTTCAACACAGTTCATGAATTTTTTTAGATTTTTTACTTTCCACGATTCGAAACGGCTTTTTCTTGTAAAAATGGATAGTTGGAGCGCCAGAATGGTCCCTATAGGGGGAGACTTGGAGGCCCCTCTAGGGACCACTTACCCTCCTCTTGTAGGGAGTTTTAAGGTCGCAAAAGTGGTCCCTAGAGGGAAAAATGCTCACTGTTTATTGTTTTGAACTTTATAAGAAAAAAATTTCTATACAAGCATTTTTTGAAAGAAAAAAACATTTTTAATTTTCAAATTTAAACGAAAAATTTCAAGATCACTATAGGGACCACTCACGCTTAAGATCCTTCTAAAAGGGACCACTTAAGGGGCTTCAACTCCTATAGGGAGCGCTTTTTGTCCTTTAAAGGGCTGTCTTTTCCTCCTGACCACTATAGGGACTACTCTAACGCTCAAGTAGCTAAATAAATCCATTCTCGACGTTGCAGGCGCAAGCAGTTTCAAAGCGACCGCGCCGCGACCGCAACGCTTACCGTAATCATCCAGGCGTCGTAGAGGTCCCGCGTTGCCCAGTCGCCTTCGTCTGCCGTTTTTTCCAAGTTTGTCAGAATTTCTATCGCCGAGTTCCCTCGAAGGGTCATTTTCAAGGCTGGAGCGAGATTTGCGAAAAAATTCATTGAGGCGAAATTCTGAAAAACTCCCGAATCGACCCAAGAAGGGATTTTGGAAAACCTACCGTAGTTGAAGAGCCAATAGAGGTTCTTGCTGCTGGACGAGCCTTCAAACAAAAAAAAAATCTATAAAACTGTATAGCCTGTCTGCGCCCTCTTTTCTCTAACCGGACTTGATTTTAAGCGATTTCAAAAAATGTTCAAAAAGAATCATTTTTTCAAACTCACCCTACTTGAAGAAAATGTGGAAGTGCTCGAACTTGGTCGAATTTCCTTCTAAAATTGAAACTTCTTTTAAAATTGAAACTTCTTCAATTTTTGAAAACTTGAGACACCGTCTTTTAGCGCGTCCGACCAAAAACGACTTGCGCGCTGGAATGTTATTTAGCCTTCTGCACTGTCTCTCTTGTTACCGGGAAGGCTCTGAATAATTTTTCCAGAAAAAATTTTAGATTGGTCGCACTTGGAATGGCTCATAGCCTGCTCTGTCGCATTTCTCTTCTTCCAGCTCGCAAGTCGTTTCAAGTCGGGCGCAACCAGCTTTACCTCATTTTTCCATCTCTCGAACTCCTCCTGGCATTCCTCGTTTTCAGATCGAATGAAAACAGCCATTTCCTCGCATTTCTTGGCTTTATCAATCGGTCTTTTATTGATATTTTCGAGGATTGTTCTTCTTTTGGTGGCGAGTCTTATGAATCTAGGCGTCTGAAAGTTTGGAAATTAAGATCATAAATTTCTTTACAAAACTGAAAAACTCGAGAAACTTACTGGCTGTTGTCGCTGCATTTTGTGAAGGTATTCGTTCTGAAAAAGTCATGATTCGACATTTTTTTTGGGGGCGGGGGGTAGGGAGCTTTTTGGGGCTTTCTTTGAAGCGTATTCTAGAAGGGAAGCTTGTAAATGTCCTCAATTTTGATAGAACGCAGAGATTTTTATAAAAAAACTTGCCTTTTTTCGCTACTCAAAATTTGTCTCCAAAGCTCTCTGAACGCTGAAATCACAATCAAACTATCCAAAAAACTAACTTTTCCAATTAAAAAAAAAATGAGAAAAGGCTCATAGAAAAGAAAAAAAACCGTGAAAATCTGAATTTTAAAAAATTGCGTTCATTTCTCAACACGAATCTCCACTGAAACGGTTTCAAACTTCAAAAAGGAAAAAATTGAGATTTTCTATAAATTTCCGCAAAAATTCTTTTTATTTTCAGTTGTAATATGGTCAGTTGTAAGCTACAAAAACAGAAAATTGCAGTGAAAATTTTTTTTCTTTCGATCCATCTATAATTTTCAGTTAACATCATGGAAAAGTTCATGGGATTGGTCAGTTTCAAACCGAAAAAAGGTAAAAATAAACAAAAAAGGAAGGAAAGTGAAACGGAAAAAAAGAATGGGTTGAAAAGAAAGAGAAGAGCGAGAGAAAGCGTTATCAGCTGCCTTGCTCATACTATTCCTCACATCGAAATGTGTTATTTTGGCCGTCTTTTTCTCTCTTTTCTCACCTTCCAGAGAGATTGTAGTTTGGTGGGAAATTGAAAGAAACTATCAGCAAAGATAAAAATCAGAAAATTCAACACAAAATAGTCCAATAAAGTTCACACTTCAGATCTCAAAACGAACAAAAAAATTGATAAATAGCCAAGCGGATCAAAGGAAATCGCGCTCTATGGCTAATTTTTTGTCAAAATTCGATTTTTCATCGATGAAACATTCGAACCTCGGTGACGCAAACCGGACGTTTTTGAGCGATTCTAGTGATCTCTTAAAAAAATGTTGACGCCCCTAAAGGGGTCTCTAGAATTGCCCAGAAACGTTCAAAGCACGTCCAGTTCGTGTTCCCAAGGTCCAAATAGTAAAAAAAATTTTTCCAAAAGTTGTTTCCATCAAAAATTGCACTGAAAATTTGTTCAACTCTTTTAAAATTCTCCTAGATGGGCCACTTAAGCTTGCAAAAGCGGTCTCTATAGGGGTTTCAGTTAGTGGCCCCTATAGGGGACATCCTAGTCGATTATTGCTTTGAATTCTAAGGGAAGAAGCATTTCCATGCGAGAAACTTTATGGATTAGCTTTTTTTGAACGAAAAAAATATCAAAATAAGATGAAATGATTAGTGTTTTTTTACTGATTTATAAATTGAAAAAAAAAACCCTTATAGGGACCACTCTGGAGTCCCTAAAAGCTGTTCACGATTTCGAGATGAGATTTTGAAGTTTGGAGTGATAAAATTGATAGAAACATGGGAAAATCAAAATTACGAAAATCCTGTAGGCTCTTGAGGATATCAGATAGTTCTATATGAAAATTGACCTTGTGAAAACGTTGAAAAACTTTATTTCAGCCGATTCTGAGCATTTTAAACCGAGATATGAATTTTTAAAGCTCTCAGTGAAAAAATTGACAGCAACACGGACAGCAACATGAAAAAATCGATGTTTTTTAAAAATTCTTAGGGCCCTTAAAAGTACCAGCTAGTTCTATATGAAAGTGGACCCTGTGAAAACGTTAAAAACCTTTTTTTCACAAGATTCTGAGCGTTTTGAGTCGAGATACGAATTTTCAAAGTTCCACAAAATTGACAGAAACATGGAAAAATCGATATTTCAAAAATCTTATCGGTTCTTGAGGGTATTAGATAGTTTTATATGAAAGTTACTATGTGAAAACGTTAAAAAAGTTGATTTTACCCGATTCTGAGCAATTCGAGTCGAGATATGAATTTTTGAAGTTCTTAGAGAAAAAATTGACAGCAACATGGACAGCAACATGGAAAAATCGATATTTTTCAAAAATCCTTTGGAATCTTGAGAGTATCTTAAAAATTCACATGAAAGTGGACCTCGTGAAAACATTAAAAAACTTTATTTTACCCGATTCTGAGAATTTTGAGTCGATATATGAATTTTTTAAAGCTCTCAGTGAAAAAAAAATTGACAGCAACATGGAAAAATCGATATTTTTTTAAAAATCCTTAGGGACCTTGAGGGTATCAGATGGTTCTATAGGAAAGTGGGCCTTGTGAAAACGTTAAAAAAGTTGATTTTACCCAATTCTGAGAATTTTAAGTCGAGATATGAATTTTTGAAGTTCTTAGTGAAAAAATTGACATGCAAGTTGTGAAAAAGCGAGTATAATTTTCCGAAAAAAATCAGAAATTTCCAACTAGAATGAAGTTCAATTCTTCCGAAAAAGTCATAAATATATTATTTTATCTCCCACTAACCATATATGACTATCAGCAGACTTTTCATGAAATCGATCCTCCTTGCTCATAATAACGTTTCACGATGTACGGGCCGGGACACTTAAAAGATTGAGAAATACAGTTTTTTGCATCATTTCGTTCAGATTGTACTGTAGAGTTTGATATTGTGTCATTTCGTCGCAATTTTATGATTTCAGAACATGTTAGGACTGGATATCGGCACGAAATACGTGAAAGCGGCTTATTTCGACGCGGCGACGGAGCGAACCACTGTGATAAGGAACGAAAATGGTGCTTCTTATCTTATTTTTTTGATAAATAAATGATTATTTTTTTGTTTAAAAAAAAGTTTTTTTCAAGTCCTTCTGGCTTAAAAAAATGATTGAAAAATCAAGAAAAAAATGAAAAATTTTTCGGCTCGGCTATGAAACCTCTGAAGCGTTTTCTGATCCCAAAAATTTTTTTTACTTCCCCCGGCCGCATTTGGAATGGCTCAAGGGTAGATTCAAGTTGCAGCCGACCCTAAACGACTTGCGCGCTGGAGATTATATCAAGCGATATTGTCAACCAAAACAGTTTTCGTAAAGCTTTTCTTGTTTCGTGAGCTCAAAAATCTAAAAAGAAACATTGAGCCAAAAAGTTAATATGTGAGCCATTCCAAATGCGGCCAAAAATGGGTTATTTTCCAGGATCCGATCTGTTCAGTACGACAGTCATATTCGGAAAAGAAGAATATCGACCATTTTCCCGACGATTTGGAGAATCGCCAGAAGGATCCGATTCAACTATAATTCGTGGTAAGTTTCGCTATTCTGTCACTTAAGGGGTTCCTCGAGGACTACTTGGAGAAGACACTAAAAGTGGTCACTAAACCCACCTCTATGGTAGCCATTATTTTCCGTTTAAGTGGCCACTATAGTGGTTTTAGTGGTCTAGGAGTAACACTAAGGCTTCTGAGGTCACTAATTTAGAGCCACTTGAGAGGCCACTTAAACGTCAAAACCCTGAAGTGACTACTAAAATTTTCCAGTTTTCTTTTTTCTGACTATTACTAGGAAAATTTTAGTGGCCACTATAAAGGCTCACCAAGGACTTGGAGAGGACACTAAAGTGGCCACTAAACCGACCTCTATAGTAGCCACTATTTTCCGTTTCAGTGGCCACTATAGAGGTTCTCTATTTAGTGGCCGCTCTAGTAGTTTTTCTTCCAATAACTCTGATAATTTTAAAACAAACAGATTGGACCGGTTATGTTGATCCTTTGACCCCTTAAGAGGCCACTAAAACGATTAGTGGTCTAGTAGTAGCACTTAGACCTTATATAGTGGTCACTAATTTTTAACACCTTAAGTGGCCACTAATTTAACTACTATAGTGTCCACTAAAACGTCAAAACCCTATAGAGGCCAATAAGAATTTCCCAGTTAAGTTATTAAAGGCTAATTTTTAGGGATAAGGAAACTAGTTGGCCTCAATTACGAAGAAGCATCGAAATACCGAGAAGATTTAGATAATTTTGAGGTGGATAAAAATTATTGGGGAATCCAAAATCACATTCAAACTTTTAGATCATACAAACAGAAGGCCAAGTAGAAATAGAGATATCGATTGAGGAAAAAAGTGAAAAATATTCTCCAGAAGACGTCCTCGCAATGGTACTTGGACACGTGCGGGAGAGGTCGGAATACGTTCTTGGATTTGAAATAAAGGTTCGTTTTTTCGAGGCTCATTTTGCGGGGAATAGTTGCTCCGTTGATAAAATTCTCAAATCAACATCCGAGCTGTATAAAGTTTCAACTTTGAAAGTCAAAATGGCATGCTGAAAAGCCCTTGAAGATGACCTTTTAAAGTCCCAATTTCAAAAAATCCAGAAAGTTACACTTTGATCAAGATTTCCTGTTAAAACTTGTACAAGGATTTCTTTTTTTCCCATAAAAAACCATCTTTTTCAAAAGTTGATCTTAGTATTTTTTCCAGGACGCAGTGATAGCCGTACCATTAACCTTCTCTTCGACACAAAGAACTGCAATCAGAAAATCAGCAAGATTGGCAGGATTCCAAGGCGAGCTGGTGTTGATCAACGAGCCGACGGCGGCAGCTTACGCTCATGCTTCCCATCTACAAAGTTTCACTCAAGAAAGGTTTTAAAAATTTTCTTCGAGGAAAAAAATTGAAGAAAGTATTTTTTAGTATTTTTCCGCTTTTCAAGACTTTGAAGTTACTTAGAAGCTACCAATTCTGCTATTTTTTTAATTTTAATAATTTAAAGTCTCAATACTTCAACTAAACTGATTTGTCTTTTTTTTAAGGCCTGTCTGGGAAAATTTAGTGGCCACTAGCCAAGGACTACTTGAGGAGGACACTAAAGTGGCCACTAAACCCACTTCTATAGGGGCCACTAATTTTTAACCCCTTAAGTGGGCACTAATTTGACCACTATAGTGGGCACTAAAACGTGCCCTACAGTGACCACTAGGCCACATTTTTAACTACAAACTGTCCGCACTTTAAAACCATCCAACCCTTCCCAGCAACTTCTACCTGGTCTACGACATGGGGGCTGCCTCCTTCGACGCCACCCTCGTCGTCGTCAACAACAGCAACTTGGACGTCGTCGTCGCCCACGGCCACTTCGATCTCGGCGGTGACGTCATCGACCGACATCTGATGGACTACGCAAGAAAAATCGTCCGGGAATCCATAGAAATCGACCCCTTTTCCGATTTCCATTTCAAAGAACAACTTCGAATGACTTGTCAACATGCCAAACACGTCCTTTCCATTGCCGACCAGGCCAAGATACCCTTCCAGTGCAAAGGAAAGTCCTTAGAAATCCCATTCCCCGACTTTTCGTCTCAAGACTCCCCGTCCTACGGTAAGATCCGAGAAGCCATCGATAGAAGCATAGCCATCACGGAGAAAATACTCGAAACGGCTTTTCGGATCGGAATCCAACAGAACCAGATCCGAATCCTCCTTTTGGGAGGGACGTCAAGGATCCCGATGATCCGAAAGAAATTGGAAGTCTTCTCTGTCGCCATCAACTGCCAGCTGTCGCCAGATACGGCCGTCGCGGAGGGAGCAGCCAGATTCGGTCAGGGATTGGCCGTGGAGCGCGTTTACTGCTTGAATAACAGACCGCATTGAGAATCAAGTTTGAAATGTCAATAAAAGTTACTTTTGATCCTAGAAGGAATAAAATTCGTCTGAATCTTCTAAAAACAGCCAAAATTACAAAATTAGAGAAACTCCCCTTGTAGTACTGTTCTTCAAGTTCTGAAACCGAACTTCAGCAGACTTACAAATTAATTCCAAAAAGACTTTTGGGGACTAAAACTGTCAATTATCTCCAAGAACTACTCTTACATTGGAAACGCGAAATCTCCGGACGTTTCGAGGCAACTCTAGGGATCACTTAAGAGTTTTGACGCTACTAAAGTGGCCACTAGAAATGCCCAGAAACGTTCGGAGCTCGTCCGTTTCACGTTTCCAATCTCGGACCTTGGTAACGCGAATCGGACGTGTCGGGGCTTTACTAGTGACCACTTTAGTAGCTTCAAAACTCTTAAGTGATCCCTAGAATTGCCCAGAAACGTCCGTTTCGCGTTACCAATTCCGTACTTTCTCTTGGGGTGTTCGCTTTGGAGCAACATTACTCGCAAAGGTCGACCTTTGAATTTTTTATCAGCCTGCAGTTACTCGGATCTTACCATTTCTAGGGATCACTCAAGAGGGCTGAAGCCACTTTGGTGGTCACTAGAAACTGCTCTAAAAAGCTACAAGATTCGTTATAGAGCTAACTTTCTTCAAAAATCTGTCCTTGAATAAATGGTTTTTGAGCAATTTCACTGCTTGAGAAAACAGAAAAAATTCGATCAAAGTTTATAATTAGCGGGGGGAACTATTTACATTTGAACAAGGTGTACGGGGACACAGTTACTGGCCGAAGACGGCAGTTTTCGCGTCGTGCATCTTTTCCTTCATCGCGTCGACGGCGTTGCCGCACGTCTCGATGATTCGGTTCGTGCCGGAGTCGATCTGAAATTAGGCGTTGTTGAACATGTATCCGGGTCTCAAAAGCCTTTTTTTGAGTCTTAAAAGTCTTTTTCAAGTCTCAAAAAGCCTCCTATTTTTTCAAAAGTCTTTTCAAGTCTCGAAAACATTTTTTCAAGTCTCAGAGACCTCCTTTTAAATAAGAGGCCTTCTTTCGAAGTCTCAAAAAACCTTCGGTCAATAAATCTTTAAGAAACTTCAACGCGAAAAACCTAGGGGTGGCCAAAAACTTGCTCCGCAAGCACAAAAAGCACCGTATCTCAAAACATTTCTACAGTAACTTGTTGGTACTCTTTAAAAAGATTCTTAAAAAAATGTATTAAAAATCGATTGCTATATATTTCGGTCAAGGAAAACTTAAAACTTCGCGAAAGTATAAGATACAGTAACCCAACATGGTACTTGCTGAAAAAGCCCCAAAATCATCTTACCAATCGATAAATATAAACTTAGCCTAGAAAAAAAAAACTGTGTACTTCTCCGGCTGATCTATCTAATCTAAAAAAATAGATCAAAAATGTTCAAAAAATATTTTTTCTCACTGCACCCGCTTTTATAATTTTCGTAAAATACAAATTTGTTAAGATCTAGTGAATGTTTACGCTAATTAATTGAAACTCACGCTCTGTGCAGCCGAGGCGATCATGTCCTTGGCGGCGTAGGTGGCGCTGATGTTGTGCTGGGCGAGTTGGTCGCCGACGATGGGTTGGCCTCCGTCGGCCTTCACGCCGGTGGCGGTCGGCTCCTCTCTGAGTGGTGGCAGGGGTTCCATTTTGGCGGGTTTTTGGTGGCTGAAAAGAAAATTTCCGTGAGAAAACGCCATGAACACCGTTTGAAAATCCTGCCAAAGGACTCTAAAGTGGTCACTAAACCCACCTCTATAGTGTCCACTATTTTCCGTTTTTGTGGCCACTATAGAGGTTCTATATTTAGTGGCTACTTCAGTAGTTTTTCATCCAGCATTTCTTCCAGTAACTCTGATAATTTTAAAACAAACAGATTGGACGAGTTGTGTTGATCCATTGATTCCTAAAGTGGCCACTAAAATTTTTAGTCGTCTAGTAGTAGCACTGAGGATGGTACGACAAAATCTCAAGTCCGCAAATCTCGAGGACCGTAATCTTGTGTACGCAGATCTAAAGTCCCATAATCTTGGAGACCAAAATCTTGGAAACCACAATCTTGGAAACCACAATCTTGGAAAGCAAAAATCTTCCTTTTTAGTCTTCTTTATTGCACTTTATCTACTTATATTCTCTTGTTTGGATCACCGAATACAATTTCTGATGAAATCTTTTCGCAAAAGCGTTGATTTTTACTTTCCAAGATTGTGGTTTCCAAGATTTTGGTCTCCAAGATTTTGTTCTCCAAGATTATGGGACTTTAGATCTGCGTACACAAGATTACGGTCCTCGAGATTTGCGGACTTGAGGTTTTGTCGTACCATCGCACTGAGACCTCTATAGTGATCGTTAATTTTCAACCCCTTAAGTGGCCACTAAATTGACTACTACAGTGGCCACTAAAACGTCAAAACCCTATAGTGGCAACTAAAAAAAAGAAATTTTTGTGAAAGCGCAAACTACCAATTAAAAATTTTCAAAAGCCTGAATTATTTTCAAGAAAGAGTGAAAAAGTAATATTACTTAAAAGTTCCATAATAAAACGAAAGTGGAAAAAAAATAATTTTTGAAGCTTAAAAGTTTTTTAATGAAAATCTTATGTTATGCTGTGTTCAAAGTATAAATCCAAAATTTTCTCTGACTCTCCAAAATATAGTTATCTTTTTCACTCTCAGACAGCTATTTTGAATTTCGCGCTTTGAACACGGCATTGCTATTCACAAATTTGAAATAAAAACCAACGGCATTGTAAATTGAAGTTCGCAATGAAGCAGCAAATTGAAAACAATAAAAACACGGGCTTTTTATACGCGATTTGGCTCAAAATCGTCATAAATCGTAAACAACAACAAAAGTGACATCATACCACGTGTCGTTATGGACCTTTTTTTTCTTTTTTTTTATCTCAATTTGTAGTTTCTTATTAGCATTTTTGTCTAAAAATATTCATTGTTCAGAATTCCATCTATGAAAAAGAAGAACGAACCAATTTTTGACGAAATAAATGATATTTTTTGAAGTTTTCAGGGTTCCTAGCCAAAATAACAGTGTTCCTGAGTTTTGAAGATGAAAATTCTCAACAGAAAACACTAAATACATGATTTTTTTGGGTTAGTAATCGTTTCATTTAAAAATGTACGCTAGAAAACTAAGAAAAGCTTGGGAAATATATTTTGAAGCCTAATTTTCTCAACAAAAAAATTCATAAAAAAATCAAAAAAAGAGCCTTGACTCTAGACAGAAAAAAATGTCAACAACATGTGAAAAAAATAATAAAATTGATCTTGAGTCATAAATATTAAAGTTTGAAAGCTCTTCAAGTTTTTAAAAAAAGGTTTTTTTCAGAATAAACTCAAAAAAAGTTCCAATAAAAAAATGATGCTTCATATTAAAAAAAGTTGAAGAAAAATAGGCCGAAATCAAGAAATTATTCGAAAAAAACTTTTAAATTTTAAAAGTGAATCCTTCAGTCTTCAACCTCAGTATTGAACTATAAAAAAGTCAAATTTCAACTTGAAAGCTTCAAAAATACAAAGTAACTAGAATAAAATCTAAATCTCACCTTAAAACTTGAAGTTAGGAATAGAATAAGTGCTCGGAAGCTGGTCAAACTCTCCCAACTCTTCTATTTATACATATTCCCAGCAAACAGAATCGATAAGTGGGCGGTCCCGAGGGCCGACTTGTAAACAGAATTGTTTTCCTTGGGCCCTCCTCCAATTGAGCTTCGGTCTTTTGGGGTTTCGCAAACAAGAACCCTTAGGAACCAAACACGTGGCTTTTTTCCGAGCTTTTAAGTGATTATATATCACAGAGAAAGCTTTCGAGACGATATTTTTCGAAAAATATGTTTGAGGCTTTGAAAGTGAAACGAAGAAAAATATGTAGAGCATTTTCCTGATTTTTGCTGAATAATAGTTCTAAAAAGGTGCTGAAACACGTCTTCAAGTTGAAATTCTAGGAAAAACATTAGCCAAGAGGGGAAAAATCGTTCGATTTTTAACTTTCTTGCGTTTTCCCTGTGAAAAATTGGCCGAAAAAACGCTTGAAAAAACCTTCAAAGCGTAAATTTTTCAAGAAAAACGAATTCCGCTCTCAAAATACACGACAAAAATGATTTATATTCAAAAATAAATATGAAAACCTTGGGAATTAAAATTTTTTTCTAGCGTTTGAATGAATTTATTTCTTGTTCCCATGAGAAAAATGAGAGCTCTTTATTGGAATACAAAGTGAACTCTGAAATAAAATATTTATCGAAAAAAATCCAGTTTTCGCGAAAACCCCCTAAAAAGACAGGGAGTAAAAAAATTTCAAATCGAAAAATAAAAAAGCTTAAAAAAACCGTGAAGGATCGTTCTTTTAAAAATAAATTCAGTGAATCTAAACTTGACTTTATTTTGCCTATTTTTCAAAAAAAAGAAAAACTAAAATCGAGAAATACCCTCCTCTTATTCAAATTTTGAGCTGGGAAACACCTTTGGCAGTATTTTTTTGGAAAAACAACGGAATTCACTAATTGGTAAGTGCTTCTCCTACCTGTTCGATTATAATTGAGATAAAACCTGATAGTCTTTCCGAAATACTCACTTCAAACTGTCTTTGACAGCTTCCCTTCAACAAATCTTCACATTCAAAAAAAAAAACATTCATTAAATACATTTCAAACCGCAAAATATGTACAATTAAATTCAAATAAGTGAAACAGGTATATGAAATTGATCAAATTATTGAGGCGAAGTGCTTTCCAGCGGATCCTTCTTGTCGCCTTCGCCGTAGACGACGTTCTTGATCTTCTCCGAAGCCGTTTCGGCCAGGTCCCGGGCCTGAAAACATCAGAAAAGTAGAATTCGTTCAATAAATACGTTTCAATCCATCTTATTCTTATTAGGAAATATTAACACTGACCCAAAAATTTCAACATCTATAACTATTATTGATAAACTATAACATGGAACAGTAAAAATATAATATTTTTTTCACCAAAAATTGAAAACCAACTGTTTCTTAAAGACTCTAGATATTTATTTTCAAAAAAGCTGTTCTGAAAAAACTTGGAACAAATAAGAAACTTGAGAACACTGTAGAAAAGCCGATTTCCTATTTATGAAAGCTCAAAATTACTGAAAATATCTTTGACTTATGCAAAAACCCTTCTTTCCTCTTCAGAAGAAACAACTCACGACAAGTTTCGTGTCGTTGGCGACCTCCTTGGCCTTTTCCATGGCGTTGTGGATCGGATTATCGTTTCGGTCCGTTTTGTAGACGTCCGTCATGACGTCGTACTTGCCATTGTTCGTTTGCATGTCAACCATTTTCTGGAAGTGAAAATGAATCAATAACTTGACTTTTTGTAAGCGAAACAAGAAAAAATTGGAGCGGAGAACTTTCAAAAAACATCGTGAGTAACTTCTTGGATAAAAAGTGACAAATATCAACAAGTTATCTAGAAAAATAATATTTCTGAACGTTTTTAAGGTCTTCAAAAGGCACTAAAAATGAAGAATTTTTTACAGTCAATAAATTTCAGGATAAAACAGTTGTACTAGAAGCAAGTTAAAAGGAAATTTTTTTTTGCATCAAAAATAATTAGGGTTCCCGTTTCAATTCTGGTTTTTAAGTAGACCTCTTGCGTGTCTATCTCGTTTGCTCAACGGACTATTCAGCAAAAACAACAAAATTTTTGAGACAAAAAATACCAACTTTTTTTCTGATTTTTCTGTGTTAATTTGAACAGGAAACAAGATGGGACACGAAAAATCCAGAAAAAATTTAATTGATTAAGTCGAAAACTAAAGCGATCTCCTAATACCCACTGACAAAAAAAAAGAGCTTTTTGAAATTCCTTGCATTAAAGGCGCAGAATCTTCGCTTTTCACAAAGAATGGTTCATCGGCTCGAGACTTTTTCATAATGCTTGAAAAATTAAACAAAGATTTCAGAACAGACAGTAAAAGTTTTTAAAGAATACTTAAATAAAATAATGCAAAAGAAAACGGCCTATACAACAAAGCAAAATGAATTAGAAACAATTTTCTAAACTCTAAAAAAAATCTAAACCAGCAAAAATCACAAAAAGAAGGACCTTTAAAAGAACTAGAAATGAACAAAATACGGAAACGAACAAAAAAATTATATAGACCAGCACGTGGCTCGAAACGAAGAAAACGCGAAAACGAGTGAAAGAGGCGGGGCGAGTCGCGTAAACAAAATGATGTCATTCGAAGTGACGTAAACAAAAAGGATTTTACTTGATATGACGTCATAATCAGAAGTAAAACCTTTAATTTTTGTAAATTTCGATACATAGAAACTCTGGAAAATCCTTGAAGACATGTATAAAATTGAGAAAAGTTCACATTCTCAAGTATTTACTTTTTTTACGAAATCTGTAAGCATAGTTTTTTAACATCTGTTTTTCTAGCTACAACTACTTTACATAACTTTGAAAAACTCGGAATAACCAAAAAGGAACTGGGAAATCTATACATTTGAAGTTTCCTCATTGCAAATGAGAACGGACTTTGCGGCGAAAGGTTCAATGATCGGCAAAAAGGAACGAAAATAAACAAAAACGGAGCGCGACGCATCAAGATAACACAACAACGGCGCAAAAAGTTCAAAATTTCGAAAATTAGGGGGATTGAAGCCGCAATGTGAAATTTAAGAGGAAAACTTGTATTGCTGTTGCCAGCTTATCAAAAATACAACTTTAAAAGATTCGCAACAACTTTTCCATTATTTTTCACCTTAGAGTGAAAATTGTGAAAAATGAATAAGCCAAATTAATTTTCAATTAAAAATTTCAATTGAAAAAACTCGAAACTGATTTGAAAATGTCGGGAGGAACGAGTTTGGTCTGTAAGCACCGCAATATGTACCAACTCGGTCTACAGTAACAGTTAAAAACTTCAAAAATAACAATTTTCAGACATGTTTCTGCTGTTTTTCTTTCTCTCATGCCCAGTTATATCCTTGTTTGGGAATAGTCTTTTTCAGTCGAGCGGAAAATCGAGTTTGGGGACCTCCAATCAAATTTTTCCTGGAGCCAACGAGTAGGAGAGAGAAAAAATTTCGTTCAATGGTCTGTTTTGTATGTATTCGCCCTTCTTTTGTGTCGCCGAATATGAGAAAAATTGTGAATATTGGATTTTTCAACGATTCCACCTAGGTCTCGCTGAATATTTTTAAGTGTTAAACTGAAATAAAAACTGATTTTTAGTTTGTCTTTTTTCGCTGACTTGTCAATTGTCGTCCCAGACACATCAGTTGGCCTCGTACATCTTCGTTCGCTTTTTGACGGCCTCTTTTTTGTTTTTTAAGCTTGTTACCACTTCAAAAATAAGAAAGAAAAACTTGGATTTGTATGTTTTTTTTTTCTCGTTCAACTTGAATCTCAAGCGGCTGTTTCGCAGTTTTTTTTTTGCGGTTTGTTCGCTGTTTTTATATTCTTTTTCTTTGATTTCTTTTTAGCACTTGTGGATAAAAAAATTTTTATTTTAAAAAGAAGCTGTTCAAAAATATCGAAAAAAGACTAATCTTCAATTTCTTGAGCATGACCCAGATGGAAAGAAAGAGGAGAAGCCAAAAAGTATTAAAATCCAATGTTTTCGCATTTTTTTTGACACTTCTGAAGCCAAATTTATCAAATTTGTTCAGCCAGCTTTCTATGAACTTTGAAAACTATTTTTTGTCCAGCTATAAATTTCTGAATTTTCGCTTCCTTCCACTTCCAACGCTTTAAAAAGCCCCTACCTTATTGATTTTGAAATTCTCTAAATTTTAAAGATTTTTATAAACGTTAGAATAGTTCTTCCACCAAATAAGACCTAATCATCCAAGATTCGACTAATTTTTACGCTAAAAAGTATGCCAATTATCCTCCAAGGGAAGGAAAACACAAGGAAAAGGGCACCGGAAAGAAAAAAGGACAATATAATAAAATCCCTGAGTAAACTTTCCCTTGTTAGCCAGAATCCATTGTAAATAAACCAAAAGTGCAGGATAAGCTTAGACTTTCCTTTAAAGGATATAAAAATGTGGAATTTTTTTTTTGGAACTTGTCTTTTTTTTTTGAATATGGGTGAGGTTTTTCTGATTTTTTTTTTCTTATCGATTATGAGCTCTTTAGGGATCCCTCAAGTTGTCGAGGGGCCTCTTTAGTGCTCACGTAAAAGAAATAAGCGTATTTGATTTATAGGGAATGAAAAATCTTGGATTCTTTGATGAAAATGTTGAAATTTATTCATTTTCTCAGCCTTAGTTGACCTATTAAAAAAAGAAATCCGAGCCCTTAATTGGAGATTTTTGAAGGAAAAGCCTCCGAATCAATAAAGCTTAGTCGCACGTGGAATGGCTCAATGCGTCGCGGTCGCGTTGCGGTTCGAACCCACTTTAGATCCAACTTGGCTTTTGCTTGCCGATGTCTGCGCGCGGAAACCGTTTCAGGTCGGGCGCAGCCAAAAAAAAAAAAGACGACGCTTTGAGCTATTTCTAACGGCCCAATTCCAAGTTGAGGCATTTTCTTTCCGATGCCCGCACGCGAAAACCGTTTTAGGTCGGACGCAGCTTCAAAAAAACGCTTTGAGCTATTTTCTGCGGCCCAATTCCAGGTCAAGGCATCTTTTCTGAAATCTTATCAATTTTATGAAACTTCCCTAAACCGAACTAGGTTTCTAATAAATTTATGAAGCCCTAAAGGTCATATTTTAGATCGTAAATTTAGGAAAAGCCTTTTTTGGATGGATCCTAGAGAGAAAGTTTACCTTTCTCTTATATTTCATGGTAAAATTCAGAATTTATACCATATAAACAGGTTTAAAAGTTGCAATTTTAAGCCAAAATCAAATATTATCAAGAAAAATCAGGTTTTTTTAATTAAAAAAATTCATTAAACACGGTTTTTTTCCTTTCACTTTAATAATCATATGTCTCGAAGAAGGGGGGTGAATTTTTGGAAATTGAGTGGAGGTCGTGGAAAAAATTGCATTTTTTCTTCGTTCTCGTCGTTTCTTCCTCCCATTGTTGTTGTTATTTTCCGGCCTTTCACTCATTTTCTTCTATTTTTTTTCTCCTGTGTCTTTCCCCAGGTCGCCGCGCCGTTTAATAAATCAAAAGGTTTACGGAGGTTTGACGGCTATTGAGAGGCAATATTGGAGCCGTTTTTTTCCGGGTTTTTTCGTGCGATTTTGGGAGAGGTTAGATCTGCAGTTTTTCCAGTTCACTATATTAAGCACTTACTGGGAAAATTTTTAGTGGCCACTATAGAGGCTTGCCAAGGACTACTTGGAGGGGACACTAAAGTGGCCACTAAACCCACCTCTACAGTGGCCACTATTTTTCGTTTTAGTGGCCACTTCAGTAGTTTTTCATCCAGTATCCCTTCCAGTAACGCTGATAATTTTAAAACAAACAGATTGGACCAGTTATGTTGATCCATTGACCCCTAAAGTGGCCACTAAATTTTTTAGTGGTCCAGTAGTAGCACTTAGACCTCTATAGTGGCCACTAACTTTTAACCTCTTAAGCGGCCACTAATTTGACTACTATAGTGGCCACTAAAAGTTCTTAGTATGATCATTTTCTTGAACATTTTTTTTAAAAATATCTTTCTTCAAAAACCAGCCATAGGATCATATTGCAGTAGGGCGAAAAAAATCACAACAAAATAAAAATTTTCTGTTCTTTTTTTTTCCTATTTTTTTAAATGAACTCTGGTCACACGAGGAATGGCTGAAAAAGCGTTACTTTTGAATTTTTTTTTTCAAGAAAGTTTTGAAGTTCAGCGGCTCCGCGCGTAAGTCGTTTCAAGTCGAGGGAGATATTTAGCAAAAGTTTACACTTCTGTCCATTTACAGTCGTTACATATATGTCTTTTTATATAACTGTTTACTCAAAATTCCACGAAAAATAACATTAAATTCAGCCTAGAAATAGAAAAAAAGGCTGAAAGAGCCTTCGAAAGTTTGAAAAGAAATAATTTTTTTCAAAGATTTCTCATAACCTATTCTGTTGAAAAAAACGATATTTTTCAAAATTTCTCTCTGATTTTTGATAACAACGTGTACCGCGGTTGCGCCCGACCCAATACGACTTGCGCGTCATCGAAAATATTTGAACCAAAATTCCAAACTTTATGTCTACCGCGACGCTTTGAGCTCTTGCAAAATAAAAGAGAAGCTCTTGTTGTGAAAAAAAAAATTGAGCAAAGTTTCAACAGAAAAACTGGGGTTTTTTGCTCAAAATGGCTCTCATAAAACTTTATCGCTCTTTTTTGGCTTTCGTAAAACCTTTTTCTTTTTCTACTACCCCTAGT